ACAACAAAAACGAGCGAAAAGAAGCGTGTGGAGTACAATGGGAGAAAAATGGCTGAAAGAGGATGGATGTAAAAGTTCCCGCGCGAGTATATGTGCCATGCTAATTTCCCCCAAATATTTGAATCCGCTTCAAGGAACTTAAAATCGATTCCATCGTCATGCAACTGGTACTCTATGGAACAGGCGGTACGCCGGAATCATATCGCGATCTAGAAAAAAATCTCTTTCCACTTTTTAAAAAAAACATCGACAAGACATAAAATAACCAACGTCCATACAACTCCGTTGTTTTCGATATCAATCCTGCACTCCCTCAGACTGGGGATAAGAGAATATGCAGCCCTATTAACGTTTTAAAATGACAATGCATCGTCGCGGCCACCGCGGTTTCATCCGCACCACCGCGCTTATTGTGGAACACGCAATATACATAATTAAACTTAAAGGACAATGGCGAACTCCCATACAAGTTTTTGTTGAACAAATATTTTTGCAAAAAATATTTAAAAATATAGAATTTAATGTTCTGAATATATCATACATACATATTGTTATTACAGGAAGTGTGGGATTAAAGGTATTTCGGTCTAAAGTTTTTAAGGTTATGTCGTATATTAGCACTATGAGTTTAAATAATAATAATAACATTCTGTAATAAAATAGACTGCGCTCTATGTAAAAAAAGGTTATAATAAACCAAATGACGCCATAGAAGATACCAGCACCTACAGGATAGCATATTACATCTCTAATATTCTATTCAAATCGATCTGACAGAGTATTAATTCTAAACGGCTGTTATTTTTTATTGTGATGAAGTTAAAAACTAATACCAATTTAGGTAACAGATTTTTCCTTAACGATACTATCATTATATTTCGACTTTTACAGCTTTTAAAAAAGCTTAGAAATAAGCCTCGATATGAAAAATAGCTAGAAAAATGAAGCAGTTTTATATGTGTTTGCATATGTACCGTTAAGGGCTGTTATCTTCGAAGAAAAACATTTATAATAAGTATTAGATATTCCATAAATAAGAAACATTGTCTTTTGAATTATTTAATCCTCATTATCTCTTATCACAATACCACCAAGAAAACCTGCTGTTCCTAAAATACTTTGGTAATTCTGGCCCGACATAGGTACCAAACTATAGTAATTGTATGAACACACCCTTTAAAATGCAACTTATGAATTAGGTAGGTACTAATCAAACACATTCATGAATATTTTTATTTCACAAAAATATGGTATTGAGTATTGCTCAATGATTCTCTCCATTTTAGATACAAAGGCGATACGATTCGAAACCGCGCGCCAGCGCGTTCGCCGGCGAAGGCAAAGTCCCCGATTACACAGCCTAAACATGATATCCTTAAGTGTCTGGCCTCACCTTTGGTGAAACAAACGTGGCCAAACCTTTTAGTGAATATTCGATTTTCCATCTCTAGTCTACAGGAGTCGCAGAGTTGCAGAGGGGCGGACAGCAGAACTTTTCGTAGACGTAGTCGTGCGCCAGCTACGATATTTTTCTTGAGTCCGTATACGTATACCTAGGAAATTTTTCCAACGAAGCTGCTGTCATCTAGTGTATCTCTATTATCAAGTAGAGATAGGTCGTATCGCTTTTTCTGAGAACCGTATCTGAATCAGATTTCGATTTCAAATATCAGATTTCCAAACTATGTATTTTAATATCTAGATATTTTACGTTCGCGTATCCACCTTAAATTCATAAAAAAAGTGAGTAACAATATTTTTATTAATTATTAACATTCAATATTATAGTTTAGGGCGGAAGAATTTAAAATGTACACACAAGACATAAGCCTTGGCCTGATGTCCACCAATGCAGCACGGAATTATTAAATTATATTTTTCTTTTTCGTTTTGTGTAGTTTTATTTTTTTTTTTTCAAAAATGCGAATAAAATTTATCTCCTAAAAATTTTTCTTCCTTAATTTAGGAAGAAAATTCCTAAGTTGGCATCTCATACTATTACGTGCTTAAGTATCAATGCACTCCAGGTCAAGGCTAAACAAAATTTAAAGACATCGTTAATACCATGATTCGTATTTTAATGAAACAGAGATTTTTCCATGCTTTTAAAATTCAAAATTGCTCAACTTATTCCTATAATCTGTTTGAAAATCTGATATTGTGCATTGTTTGCCGTACCCCTCTAACTAGTGAATATTCGTATCTCACGCGCTTTGTCTAAAAATCTGATATTGTGGCAAACGCATATGATATCGCAATTCGTGTTGGTATAGCGAGTGAGCGAATATTCGGTACATCAGATTTCGGAAATATCAGATATTGTAAAATACATGGATTTTGAACGAGCTAGTAAGCGATTTTCAGATATTGTACCAATATATAGTTTTCATATCTGATACGATTTGTATCGCCCACTTCTCAAAGAGTATTGTAAATGACAAATGCAATTTCAGTATATATGTCTTTGGTCTTATCTATGAATTTATGTGTTAAATTAAATATTTATTTTAAATTAAGTTCATAACAGGTAATATACTATTTAAAATACGGGATGCATACGGATTTATCACCGCACTTGCATACAGATGAATGTAATGTACTAATAAAAAAATTACAAGACTGTCATGAAGAGGTTAGTGAGATGTTGATAGTTGTTTTCTATAGGTTATATTTAAATATCATAAACAGTAAAGGATTACTTTAAAAAATGAATAGTCTTATTACTTGCATAACAAGATAACTTATTATTGCATTAGATTTATGTATTGCACAACATAAATAATAAGACCTCTTTTCAGCATTCATTTCTAAAATTTATGGGATACTGCAATGATTACGACCGTGATATGAGAAAGTGTTTGAAGGGAGAACGTTTAAGGCGACAACAGGCAAACTACGAAGAATCCAAAAGAAAGCATGCTGTAATTCGAGCCCGAATTCTAGCTCAAGAACAGGCTAAACTAAATCAAGGAAAACAATAATTGTTCTAACAAAATGGAATTGGACATTTTAGATTCCGTTGACTTAACAAATTTATCAAACTTTAAGTCATTTACTGACAGGTACTTTAGTAAGAGGTACATTCTAAATGTGGGAGGGATTGAAAATAATGACATTATGCTTATGTTTCATTCAAATAGAATCACTCTATTGAGCCTCGCTCCAAGTCATTTCTTCTTTAAAAACTCCGATAACTATAAAATTAATTTTACCATTGGTGATATCAATAGATTGTCTAATACTGTTAAAGGTAAAGGTAAAAAAGGAGGCCAAATGTTATTGCCCACATCTGTTATTTGTAAAATTGAATATGACAATGGCACAAGCTTTAATATTCCTTGTTGTATGAAAGGTACGCTTATAGAAGTCAACGAAGAATTGGTTAAAGATCCAGAGCTTTTAAGGAAGGAACCAGATTCTGATGGATTCATTGCAATTATGTTGTCCAGTATTGCAATTTCAGATTCAACAAAAAATGAGCTTTTAACTCATGAAGATTATGTAAAAACTTTAAATGCCAGTTTATAGTTAGTAAAGAAATAAAGTTGTCAGTTATATTTTGAATTTCATTGTTTAATTAACAACTATATCCACATTGCATTTCAGGTATATATCTGTACCTCGAGGTTAACGGCATTATGAGACAAAACAAATTTTACTGCACAGGCAAAAATGCTTGCAGTGAATCATTGTACGCACTATTGATTATGATGTCCTATCCAATTGGATATTTTATTAATTAGGACTTAATACTTTATACTATTGTGTAGAATTTGTTCTAGTGATTAAAACCATTTAATCACTAGAACAAATTCTACACAAGTACATTGTATGTAAAAATAATTTTGAAAAATGTGGAGTTATTGTATGTCTATGTGGTACAGATATTATGTTCTTGTATTTTACCTCTTAACACTGATAACTAGCTATGAGTGTAGTCAGTGTGTGGTTATATAAATGTGTAGTCTTTTATCCCTTTTTGCATATAAACCCAACTTTTACTACTCCCAGGATAGGAAAGACTGCCATTTAGTCCTTTTTTTTGGCTCAGTTGGTTGATATAAAAGGTACTTTCATATCAAAGTTCCTGTCAATTAGCTTAATATTTTCATTCTGCTTGCTAGTAATTGTATATTTACACCACCCAGAATCTAGGTGTCATTTGTCAACATAGTATGTTGGCACCATTTATGGATCTTTTTTCCTTTTTTATTTTCATTTTGGAATTTTTGAAATGTATCAAAGATTTCCAGTTTGACATTGATTTTTGATAAACTTGTATTTTAATTGAGTCACTTTAATTGCGTTGCTTCATACTTGTGTTTTGATAATAATGATATTTGTTTGTACATACTTATCAGATAGATGCATTTAAAAAAAATCAATGATTATGTAAATCCTAATGAGACAGAACAAATGAACAATATTTTGTGTCACCATATAGTTATAGTATGTTCAAACAAGCTAGCTTATGCTAGGCACCTTCGCCCCACTTCTCATTAAATCTTATTTGCAAATGTTTTATTCCTCAATCAGGAAAACGGGTCTCTCAGACGAACTAGTATAGATAGAGTACTAGTAGATTAATTCACCCAAAATATTTCTAAATATAACATTCTTTATGAGACACTATTATAAATAAATCTGTACAAACGTACAGACTTTTATAGTAATGGTTTCGATATCCATAAGTGCAGAGGCAATAAACTACTAATTTTCTTATCGTGAATATTTTCTTAACCGCGTGACCTTCGACCTTACCTTAGTGAAACTTTGATAAAGCTGTCTATTTGGCTTCGCTCGCCTCATCACACAACAATTTTGGTAACTCAACGTAAATTATGATTTGTTCTCGGAATATTGCGCGCGTGCTTTCTATAAAACATTCGAGTGTGAAAATATCGTGCACCAGTGCGTTGCAGCATCGGTTGTACGGTGACAATGCTGCGAAAGCAAATAAAACACCCTTGTATGATCTGCACGTCCGTTACGGCGGCAAGATGGTTGACTTCGCCGGTTTTCTACTGCCGGTGCAATACTCCGACATGAGCGTTTCATCATCGCATCTGTTCACCAGAAGCAGTGCCTCCATATTCGACGTCTCACATATGCTGCAGACAAATGTTCACGGCAAAGACAGTGTTTCTTGGTTCGAGTCGATATGTCCGATCGACTTGAAAGGGATGGCGGATGGCACCAGTTCGCTTACAGTTTTCTTGAACAGCAAAGGCGGCATAATAGACGATCTGATCGTGACCAAAGTGAAGGAAGACCAATTGTACGTAGTATCGAACGCTGGAAGGATGGATGTCGACAAAGAGCACATGCGCGAGACCTCGGAGGTGTTTAGAAAGGCAGGGAAGGATGTGCGGGTCGAATTTTTGAACGTCAGTCAGAGGGCTCTCATTGCGCTGCAAGGACCTAAAGCGGCAGCGACTTTGCAGCCACTGACCGACGTCCCGCTCAACGATTTGATATTTATGACGTCCACAGTTGGACAAGTTGCGGGGGTCGAGTGCCGCGTCACCCGCTGCGGTTACACGGGCGAGGACGGCGTTGAGATATCAATACCGGCGGACGAAGCTGGCGCGGTCACTGAGGCGTTGTTGCAGTGCGGCGACGTGAAACTTGCGGGCTTGGGTGCACGGGACTCGCTCCGTCTGGAGGCCGGTCTGTGCCTGTACGGTAACGACATCAACGAGGGCGTCACGCCGATCGAGGCGAACCTAACTTGGCTGGTTGCGAAACGTCGGCGCGGCGAATTGAACTTCCCGGGGGCGGAAATAATCGTGCGACAGATAAGGGAGGGCGTCGCAAAGAGGCGGGTGGGAATAAGAATGGAGAAAGGCGCCCCGGCGAGGAAAGACGCCGTGCTCACAAGCGGCGGGAGCGTAGTGGGCAAGGTGACCAGCGGATGCCCCAGCCCGTCGTTGGGCGGGAACGTTGCCATGGGTTATATTGAGGAGCAACTCAAAAAACCCGGTACCGTACTTTCCGTCAGCGTACGCGGCAAGGAGGTGCCGTGTGTCGTTTCCAAAATGCCGTTCGTCCCGTCGAAGTATTACGTTAAGAAATAGAATTAAACATTTTTTTTAAATAAAATACTATTTTTATTAGAATTACACGAATAATGCTAGTTTATAAGGAATTAAGTAATGGAATTGCTTTCATTTTACAATTCGTATATAATTAAACACTAGTTAACATTAACAATTTGCAAATTAACAATTGAGCAATAATAAATAAATTCGTATAAAATACTATATGTTAAAAAGTTTCATTTCAATGTAAGGAAATGGCGCGATTGGAATAAGGAGGAATGTGAGTCATTTAACACTTGTTTAATACTGTCACTTACACTGTATAATCTGTACTTTGCTATCACAGAAATATTTACATGAACATTGTTCAACTTGCTAATGCTTCACCGTCATTCGGACACTTTACATAAATGTACTTTATTTTAATATAATTAGAAATAGTTATTTATAATTTAGAATTACAAAACTATACCGTCATTTCTTCAAAATAGTAAATACCTTAACCACTACTTTTTACCAATGTGTCATAAACAATACATAATTTGCTCTTAAGTACACTGCTAACAAGCACAAACTTCATACATGTTAGTTGCAGTAAAAATAACGTTTACTTGTGTTACTTTGCTACAATCCCATACTACATCAATATGGTAGACATAATTTTACAATTCCTTTTACAATCTTGGTCCCATTAATACGCCAGTGTTTTTGTACATTAATAAGAAAGATCCTTCATTAAATAGAGGTAACAAATTACACAAGTTATAGCTAGTGTCTCTTATTTTTGTAGACCTTTAAAGTTGTCTTGGGCAAGTCTGGAGAAATCTTCATTCAGTTTGTTGATCATTTCGGTACACTGTAAAATATACAAAAGTAATACATTGATTATTATCATGTCAACATGAATTTTTAATTATTCAATATTAATAGTAATTATAATATATTAGAATTGCTGAAGTCACTTGTGATTCAGCAAAGATATCTGTGTAAGTCACAAAACGTGTATGAGGCAGGCATGAAAGTCAGTTTGTTTGATGACCGGCCCATCATTACAGACATTTGCGATTCGAGCGAACAAACCTGATTTGGTGTTCATGGGCCGGGCATAGTCGAGGATATTTTTATTCGACATTACCATTCCATAATTTCCACGAAAACCTCTTGAAAGCAGAAACAGATAAGAATACGAAGAATCTGGACCTGGTTCACGGGGTGACCGATATGTGGGGTGGTGTGCCGACCGAAAGTCGTTTTTGCGAATGGGGCCTATGAATCCTAGTCAGCCTCCGAAAATCTGAGTCGACTGGGAGTCCGGTACGGATCGCTTCAACCTCAAACGCGAAAGGCAGTAGAACTCCTCGATATCGCCCGTATCGTCGGCCGGTTTCTCCCTTTAGCCCTAGCCCTCGGCCGTTTGGTCTGCCCTGGCGAGGGCCTACGTCTGGTTGGGTCCTATTTATTTATTCTACACTATATAATATTTGTATGTTTATTTTTATTCAAAACCCAATTACACGAGACAAGTAAATATCCCACCACTATAATATTATATGTAAAAATTGCGTCAAGACATTTATTACATCAATAACATTATACCTGAATAATTTATTGTCTATACACGAAGCAGTGAAAGGCAGTGAGTCTGTTATTTAATGGCTTACATCATATTCTTGGTATTGCTGCACTTGTTCCCTCTTCCCCCCGTTCTTCTCCTCTTGTATTCTGCAGTTGATCCGGTTCTGGAGCTTGATGAATATCTTCCTGTATTCATCCTGTATTCTATTGATTTCGTTGTTCACATGGGTGTCTTTTTTTGTCATGTAATCCTATAATGTTATGTTCTTATGTTTGTTAAACATGTTAAACAACAACATATATCAACAATTAAATAAGATTTTTTACTTAATAGTAATAGTGAAACATGTGTTATATGCATATATTGAAAGTATAATTATTATAATATAAAAATTTGTACCTACAGCCTGCAAAATATTGACATTTTGATGTGTTAAAGATATTTTAACTTCTAAATTTACATCAAATATTGACAATTATTGTAAATTCAGTATACAAACTATAACTCATTTTTAATATTCAACATCCTTCTGCCCTTAACCTTCCTAGATGGGATTGGAACAACATGTGAATCATGTTGTAAGAAGTTTTGGCTATGTTTTTACAACCGGCCGCCTGCCAGACGTCAAACACCCCGATACCGAATAATTATCTGTGGTTCACACAAATAATTGTTCCGAGTTGGAATAGAACCCACGATCCTCGACACCGAAGCCAATAACTTAGCAGCAGCGCCACCGAATCGTCATACATTAGTATGAATATTTAATTAAATAACATAATATAATTTATTTCGTAACCTCATTCAATATATAAAATGAAAAACTCTTACCTTATAAGTGTAAATAGTTTTCTTCGCGTTCTTGTACTTCTCTTGTAAACTTTGGTATTCCGACTGGAGTTTTGAATAGCTCTGTTCCTGTCGATCCATCTGGCCCTGCAACTCCGCCACCTTATGTTTTAACGTCTGCCATTCCGAAGCGCACACGTTCGTCTTCTTCTTCCAATCTTCCCTCTCTTTCTTCAGCAAGTCCTCCAGCGATCCCAGTCTGCTTAACCTCTCTTTGTACCTCTCCGCTTTAATCCGCCACTCCACGCAGTTGTCCTTTGCGCTCTGACACTCCTTTTGCATTTCATTATGCTCCTTTATCAGCACGGATATCTCGTTCTCCTTAGATTCCAGTATCTGCGTCACCTTTGCACGCTCGGACAGTATGAATTCCTTCAGGGTCTCCACTTCGCTGGCTTTTCTCTCCAGTAGCTCCTTCAATTTCGTGACCGTTGTCAATTGTTCGCTCTCTATCTCCTTGATGCGCCTAGCGCAGTTCATTTCCATAGTCTTCATCTCCAAAGTAAATTTTTCAGCTATCTGTTCCCTTATAGCTCTCTCCCGCAGCATAACCTGTGTCTGTAAATTGTGGTATTTTTTTCATAAGTTTTATTAAATATCAAAGTCAGAAGTCTTAAGGAAATTACATAACTAAGAGTTTCCAAGGTTTACCTTGGCAGATAGAGCGTCATCACAGTCCTCAACGAGTTTATCAAGGCTGCTAGATTTCTGTAGCCCCTCCTCTTCAGTATTAGTAGAGACGCTGCGTTGATCAACTAGCTTTTTGTATCTCTCAACTATGTACTGCTGGAAAAACTCTGCCTTGCCTTTTAGCTCTTTCATTAGCGTCTCACTGCTCTCTTGGGTCGCTGTTAATTCATAAATACTACATATAATACATATATGCTGTTTTTGTTATTAATTATTGGTTTTTTCAAGTATTACATAAACTTTCAATAATGTTGCACCCAACCACAATAAACACAAATAGCATACCATATAAATACGTATATGCCAATAACATAACATACCACCAAATGATGAGGTATTTTTTTTCCATTATCTTCGGAAGACCTTTAGATAAAATAAAATAGTAAATAATTATAGTTAGAATTCAGTAATATTCAGTATCAAAGTTTCTTCATCATTTGTTATTGATGGATAGGGAGTGTATATTATATACATGAAATTTAGTGTAATAGAAAATCGACGACTAGTAAATTAAACATATAGGAAATTCAACATATCGTGAAAGAACTAAGATAATTTAAATTATAAATATTGTTTACCCATCTGTCCTCCCTCGACTTTGTCAGCAAAAATAACAAAAAGTTGAAGATGAATGTATATACGCTCTCAATGAAATTTTCCTGCATTATACTTAACGATAAAAAATTATAAGAACATATAAAAAATATATGAATACCTAATCTGACAGTGCATTTATTAAGTTGATCTTCTAAGTAATTAATTTGTTTTAACTGCTTCTCACATAGCATACAGGATTGCAATTCTTTTCGCATGGTACTCTTCTCATCTATAAAATAAAAAATTGGATGTCTTACTAATGCCCTTGACGTCAATACTACGACCAAAATATATGAGTTTAACACAATTTTTGTAAAGTTAAGTAAAATGTGATTAATTAAAGCATGACAACAAAATTTAAATATCGATTTTATTCCATTTAATTTATAGAGATATGTTACCACTGTGATCAGATAGACTACTAAACTGCAATGTTTTTCGAGTATTAAACATTGAAATTAACATTTAAAATAAGAAATCCATAATTGTTACATAGTTCTTTTTGTTATTTTAACAATTTATTCTAATTTTAGATGCGTTTCTTAGCAATAAGACCTAAAAGACCACGATACGGACTAAAACGATATTGAAAAGTTGTAAGCTGGCTATTAGTTAGCTAGTTATTATAATGGTTAAATGCCAAGCTATTAATACCTTCTAGATACTTAGTGAGTTTCTCCGTAAATTCCTTTTGCTTATCAGTAAACTCTTTTTGCAGCTCTGAGATCCTTTTGTTGGCTCTTTCCAATTCCTCTTTGGAATTAGAAAGGTCCATTGACATTTTGTCTATCTGCTGTTTTTGTTTCTCTAACCTTTCAACATAATCTTTCTCTTGCGTTCTAAATAGCTCCTTCTCTTTTTGTATTTTCATTTGGTTGTCTTTAAGCTCTCTCGAGATCGCATCACGCGCGCTACAGACCTACAACACATCGATAAAAGTTACGTAAGTAAATCCTTAAATATGGTAAGTGCAAGAAATGCCTTAGTAATGCGGCTGCAGTAAGATATTGTAGAGAAGCGCATTTTGTCAAATAGATTAATTGAGCAATAATGAAGATAAAGCTATGCGTAAAACATCTTTGAGCTTATTGTGATAGTTTCATCTTTGTTGATCCGTTGATGAGCTGTACGGAGAAGTACATCTCAGAAGACCAGCATAAAGAAGAAAAAGTGTATAGTTTTACGTTTTTTTTTTTTATGTCAGAAGGTGGCAAGTGAGCCAGTTCACTTGATGGTAAGTGATAACCACCGCCCATGGGCATCTGCAACACCCGAAGGGTTTCAGATGCGTTGCCACCTTTTAATAAAGTGGGCGCCGGTTACCACACTCACCGAAACTCAGAAGTAGAACACTTCCACTTCACTCCGGCCTTCTGTGAAGTTGTGGTACTTCTGTGGAAGACTGTTGTGTGGCGTTACAATGGAATACTCAAGATTGGTTATTAGACTCTCGGTACTTAGACCTATGGGGGAAGAGGCAAACCGAGCAATTGCCCAGAGCGGCAAGAACGGGGGAGCGGCAATATTGAGGTTTTACGTGGAAAAATAACGATTGGAACACAATTTAACGTTGTTTTACAAAAAAAGAACCGAACCAACCTGCAAATAGAGTGTCTTGAGCTCGCCATTCTCCTTGAGAGTGTCCTTGAGCTGGCCGTTGTAGCGTTCCAATTCCCGCAGAAGGTCAGCGTTCGCCTCTTGCACCATCGACGCGCGGCTGCCCTTCTCCGTTTTCAGTTTCTCGTGGTCCATCTCAAGCTCCGTGTACTTGAGGTCCAGCTACAAAATACGATTAATGACAAATAACGCCCAGTAATACTACTATGCATTACAACAACCATTGTTTGTAATTATATATAAATTTAAATTCCGTATATCCGTGTCCACGTAACCCAAAAACTAGCTAATGGATCGATATTTGATTTTCTAATTGATATCATTTGATTTGACAAAATATCTATTGAACAGGCGAGTGTTTTTATATAATTTTTGTACCGAAGTTCCAATAAAAACGATAAAAATGCCACAAGGAAGTGTGGGGGTTTAGTTAGTCTATAAATAATTGGCGACAACCCGATTAGCGTGGGGACGAACCTGCCTTTTACACCAGAGGGGATGTGGCTTTGATCCCCACTACTGGAAAAATGTGGTGTATAATATAAGTAATTATTTACAAAAATATGTTCAAGTATGTTTATCAGTTATCTAGTACCCATAGTAGAAGCGTTGGTTAGTTTGGGACTAGAAAACATTGTGTCAAAATTTGTGCATAAAATAGATTGTTATGATAGGGAAATCACACGTGCAATTACCAAGGCATTAGTCGTGAGTTCGTTTCCTACAGGGAACAACTATTAGTGTGACCCACAGATAGTTGTTTCGCACCTGGGTGTTTGTCCATGTGAAATTTATGTTTGTTAAACGTTCTCACAATATAGAATAATGTAATTGTATGTGTAGGTGAGTGCGTGAATACAAGTGCGTGAGTGCGTGCATACACGTTTGTGAGTGCGTGCAAACACACGCACGCACGCACGCACTCATGCGCACCAATAAGTGAATCAGACACTTACAGATTTGAGTTCCGCTCTGACATCCTCCAGCTCCGTCTTGAGCTGTTCGTTCTGCTGCTTGTAGTTCTGCAGCAGTTCGTCGTTTGACGAATTCCCTAGGAGCTCCAGCTTGTTCTGCAGCACGGCCAGCCGCGAATTCAGTTGCATCTCTGTGCCCTTGTGCTCTTCTATCTTGGACCTCAGCTCAGACTCCTGCTTCCGATGCTGTTCCAACTTCTTGTCCCTGTAGTCAACATTCGTAAGGTTTAAAAATGACTTGCAACCTAAAAGGGTTTCAAATTTGCTACCGACAAAAGTGAAATTCAAAAGAAAAGTTCAACGGAGGTGGCTCTAATACTGTATTTGACATCGTCACAGGTGATGAAAGCTGGATATATTGCTACGAACCCGAAACCAAAAGACAATCTGCTCAGTGGGAGTTTCTTTTTGAGGATCGGGAGGTTTAATTTATTTTAAAGAAAGGAATGAATGACTTCTTCCTTGGATGGAAAAAAGATGATTGCCTCATTCTTTGGAAAGGTGAAAGGTCATTTCGTGACAGTAGTTCTGGAAGATAGAAGGACCGTTTCGGCAGACTGTAATATTAACTGTTGTTTGCCTGCTGTTGGAAAAGATTCGTTAGCAGCGTCCTCCAAGCAGGATCCTCCTTCACCATGACAACGCTTCAGCGCACTCCGCGAAACGAACAATTGATAGTTTGACGACGGTAGGTGTCGAGATAATGAGTCATCTAACATTTATAGTTCCGGCCTAGTGTAATGCGACTTTCATTTATTCACAAAAATCAAAGATAAACTTCGAGGTATTCGCTTTACGAGCTCTGAAGATGGAGTGAGTGCGTGCGAAAGTGCCGTAGAAGAGAGAGAAGACAGACCTCTAAAGAAGAATGGGACCACTGATTTTCTCAGTGCTTTCATCGAATGCGAAGATGTATTGAAAGGAACGGATACTACTTCGAACAACAATAAAAGTATTTTATTTTCCATTTCTACATTGAGCCGATTTATGATTTTCCAAGAACCTATACCTAAAATTGCACTCAAATTCAATATTGGAACCGTCGAAGCCATAGGCGTCTACGTGAGTTATGGATTCTTCTGCTAGATATGATTTCCTCATGTTTTCGTTTTGGAGTTAGGCATAATCCACACATTTTTCCCAGTTCTCTTTCAAATGTTGGAAAATCACATCATACAGGAATTGCGTACCGCGCACATGCGGTGCTGTGCTATTATGACTCACTCGTTTTTATCGATAACGGCGATGTTCCCGCTCTATCTCATCGCTATAACCTTACTGTAATTTATGACCTAGTGTGCAGTCAATTTAATGAAAAGCAGTGTTGTTTTCATACTATTTACGATTCCATTTCTGAATTATACGGTCGTGAATCTTTTAAAGATGTATCAATTACGACTCTAAAGCGAACAAACTACTACAAGGGATCTCATATCATGTATATCTTCGATTTATTAGTATATTTCAATTGTTTTCCTAATAATAGTATAGTTTTTTGATAATTCATAAGTAAGTGAATGCGTCTATATTGAATAAAGATATTGACTTTGACTTGATTTTGTAAAATATTTTAATTTAAGTTTGAAAGAGCAGCAGATAAACTTAATACAGGGACGAGAAATAAGGATGCACCTCAATATTTGTTCACACTTACGCTGAGTGACCAACACTTGCCGTCCTGTTTTTTTTTTTAAATTTAATTATGCTATCCTTTTTATCTCATTCGAACGAAACGTTGTGAATGTGTGACGTTACTGTATATGGAAATAGAAACACTATCGACCGATGATTTTTTATGCGTTTAACATATCTATAGTATAAAATATCATTGGAAATAGCATTGAAAAATTTATCATTATTGAGATATACAATATTCACTATCCTACCTCTAGCAAAAATATAATTATATTAATTACCGTTTCACAAGATCCTCTTGCAATGTTGCCATTTTTTGGATATGCAGCTTATATCGACTTAAAACCTCCTTCAGTGTTGCCAATTTACCAGGTGACGGGGAATCGCCTGAAAAAATAGTGTTATTAAGGCGCTGTATGCAGTGAATTTTTAACTATTTGGGTGGTGAAGTATGAGGAAGCGGAGGAGGGGTAACGCCGCTTAGCGGCGCGCAGCGCGCGAGTTTCGTCGACGCGCCACTAGTCCAAGTCATTCTTTACCTAGTGTGTGTGTGTGTGTAGTGATGGGCCGTAGGATACTATCGATAGTATCATGGAAAGCTTTCGAAAATGTACACAGTTTATCCCTATAATACCTTTTATAGACCATGATTGTATTTTACTTTTATATTATAATAGGAATAATAATAAACAAACAAATATAAAGTATGAGAAAGCAATCAACAATTTAAAAAATCTTCCTATTTATTATTATTTTTTAATCAAATGGAAAAGGAATTGATTAAAAATACATCGTAAAGTCAAATAAATTAATAAAGGCAAATTACTTATAATTATTATTTTTTGTTTTTATGGTTTATATTGTGATTTTAAAGAAACGGCTCATAAAATTTTTGCAGACACTACGAATACAACTTTTTTATTACATTTTTTTATATATTAGGAATTTTAATTTATCCTTTAAATGTTCAAGACTTAATATGTTATATTACTTTGTCAACTAAAATGAAATTTTAAAAACTATCGATAAGATCCGTATTTGTATCGATAAACGACAGCAATTATAACTAGAATCGAAATTTTGTCACTTTCCACAGAACTCGAGTAGCCTGTTGGTCCGAGCGTCATACACAACGGTAAACTATTACTGTAGTACGAAGTTCAAACCCTCATCGAGTGGACTTGTATTTTTTATATTATTTTCACTTTTAATTTGTTAGCCAACTAATTATTTTGTTTTTATTTTATAAAATGACTCAATTTGGGAAATAAACAAATTAATAAAAAAAAATATAAAACAATTATTTTTAGAGTATAAGGTAAATTTTCGTTTTAGGGTGAAAAATTAAATATTTTAATAAAAAAATAGATGACGTTAAAAATTTTAATACTAAAATTTGGTTTATTTACTGATAGATTGTTCTCCAACTGTTTCAACTTTGAACAAATACAATAATATTTCGTTGTAATTATTTATGAAAATAAAAAAATCAACAAAAATTCAATGGTAATTAAAAAATACTTCCAAATATGAAAATTAAAAATAAGAACAACAAAAAATTTAGGTATTTGAATCCAATCCATAAAGAATGATGGTCCTATACACTGTATGTATAGGACCGATAGACCAATCAATCACGAAATAAGACATTCAAATTACCCTTTAAATAAATTATTAACAACTGTTAATACATACAAATAATTTATAACTACTAAATATGTAAATATATATTCTTTAGTTTTGTGTTTTCGAAGGTCTAATAAAATTAAAACTCTCAATAATAAATATATACGAAACATATTTCGTAACGGTGAGCGGAGGATGAGCGGTATAGGTCCATCTAGCAAGGTGTCTCAGCGCTCTCTGTTCAACGTGTGGAATTGGAAGAGAGCCGAAACAACGCCGCGGTGGCGCGGTGTTTTGGCCATCGCGTTCGAATTAATTTTAATGAATTTAATTAATATTTACAAATATCTTACTTCAATCAAAAAATTAAGACAACAGTCCTTTTTATTACTATATTCTACACCACTGATATTAATTTAATTAAGATTTGTTGATGTATTACGTTCAATTTTGGATTTGAATTTCTCTTTTAGAGGTAGTTTCATGATTTTTTTTTTATCGAGAAAATATATCGAGAATATGTTTTGGAAACAATGTTCCCTTAGAATGTACGATCAAGATTAACATATATTTTTTTTGCTGCTATAAAATGTGTAGATTTTGCTAAAAAAAAATTTTTGTAAAACCTATTTTTTACTGCATACAGCGCCTTAAACCGTTCTTTGTAAGAAAGTCACTTGATACGAACTGAGATGAACAACATCCATTTTTAAGCAATTGTAAAGTACTGAATAGTTACTTTAATCAGCACATGTGTAATATAATATCAAATCATTAATTCACGAATGTGAATATTATATTTGTAGTTGTTGATATTATATTCAAAAAACGGCGTCGTGGGTTTTTAATACATGTACCAAGTAAAGTTAACAAAATTCAGTTGATCTCATATCATGTACGTAATGCAATTTATCTTCGGTTTATTTCGATATTTCAATAATTTTCCTAATATTATAATTTGCGTATATCCGATGGACGACGGATACACCTAGAGATTTCTTATACATACGAAAAAGTGACAAACACTTGCGTTTTTTAGATCGGTGATTTTGTAAGCGTATAACATATATAAGTATAGCGTAAAATATATTTGCAATATAGGCTTATTGCAATCTCTTATTGAACGTCAAAAAAAACTACCACTGGTTTAAAACTAAATTAGACATTTCCAGTAAAGAACTGACAAGAAAACCTGCGGTCTTGATTTTTTTTTATTATAAAAGTATACAAAATTACTTAAGTATAAAATCAGCAACAGTACATCATCATCCTCAATGTAATCTTCAACATTGTAATAGGTCCATTAGTATAGCTTTTACAAAATGATTGAAATTGTTTACACTTACTTGTTTGTGAATGTCACCTACTTTGTTATATAGATTATTTTACATCTACCAGGAAACAGTTTTGGTTTAAGCCAGTCTAAACCTCGAAAAAAATACCTCAAGAACAAAATTTTAACAAGAGCAACATAATCTTTACCTATTTTTAATGAATTATCAGGTATTGACTCCATCAATATTTGGTGGAGAGTTGTCCGCCAATTTTCATATTCCTTCTGATTGTTACTTAGTTTATTCCGACAAAGTACTAGCTCGTGAGCTGTTAGCTCCAGTTTAGACTAGAATGAAAAATACATATAATTATTATTAATTGAAGTAAAAAATATCGCTTAAATGTTTATAAGTACGGAACTTCTTTAAATATAAAATAATACAATGACATCAATATAAATTGGTTCCATTTCTATTTCGAAATTAATTAAAACTCACGCCTAGTTCCTTAACTTGCTCCCGGGCAGTATTTCGCTCTGTGATCAGTTGCTGTACTTTTTCCTTCAACCGTGCACTCTCTCCACTTACGAGTCTGCTTTGGGCTGCTTCCAATTCACTTGCTAATCTGTTTATTGTTCCACCCTTTTCTATCAATATCTCCTCCTTCTCTCGATCCTTCTCCATGCATCGTTTTTCGAGCATTTTAATTTCATTTTCCTGAAAGTAAAAATAGAAAACGGTGTATTTAACGGTGGTAGAGCCACGCAGCAGCCTCGGCTGTTGCACGAATGGGCAGGCTCGTCCGGGTAAGTACCACGACCTCACAGAAGACTGGCGTAAAGTGGAAGTATGAGAAATACTTTCGCGTTTCGTCTGGTGAGTGAGGTAGCCGGAGCCCAATTTCCAAAAAGGTTGTCAACGCATCTGCAAACCCTGGGGTGTAGCAGATGTTCATGGGCGGCGGTATTCACTTAACATCAGGTGAACCGTCAGGTCGTTTGGCAACTTATCACATAAAAAAAAATTGGATAGTAGTATACACAAACTGAAATTTTAAGACAGAGGATTTTAAGGAATTTGTAAAATTGTGTTTTTTAGAAATTATAAGCTGTAGAAATTTGGTAAGATGTTTGATAGTCTTGTATGTTGGATTAACAAAGCAGACACATGAGTTAATAATGTGAAAATAACTATTTAATTTTGTGGTGCACAAAAAATGTGATTTGTTCACATGGCAAAAATCTAAAGTTATGAATTTAATAAAAAGTATAAAGTAAGATCATATTTAATTTTTTTCTAGGTAATATATAGTTAACCTGCCTAAGAGCAAATTAGTGCTTCACGTCCCAGAACAAGTAGGGATGAAGAAATTCATAAACAAAATAAATATTAATAAAGACAAATTAGTTAGCATGCTATTGGTCACAGCCTTTGAAATTGTAGGTACAATACTTACTTTTTCATCAAGTCTATTCCTCACTTTCATTAAGTCATTTTGCAGTCTATCCATTTCATCTCTATGCCTGTAAAAAACATTTTGTTAATAAGAAGCTCAATAAACTTACGTTTAATATTTAATTTATATTTTACATAAATCATAATGGGAAATCTGAAATGTAAAATGTCTATAAAATGTAAATTTTATTGTATATAAGAATCTATAACATGTCAAAGTGAAAATATTAAAGCTAATTTGAAAAATATTGAAAATAAGATCTTTTTATATATGTTTATGTATTAAAGAAATTAATACTTTAAAGAAATATCTCACCTATCTTGTTGCTCCCTAAATAGTGCATCAGTATCATGTGTGTGTGCTACCTGAAAATATGATGACCCATGATTTCCATGAATTCTATTTTTACAACTAGTCATAAATATTGAGTTTATAGACCAGTGGTCAATTGCCCACGAGTCCATGCTGTCTCATTGCTATTTAAGGCAGCAGACCCTGTAGAGAATTATCTGTTCTTTCAAAAGTAAAATTACTGTCTAATTAAACTACCGGACATACAGAAGCCTTAAATTAGGTTCTGAAAAAATTTTATAGCGTTTTCTGCATTATTTAAACTTTATGTTTGTTAAGATATGAGGTTTGATTGTGTCATTATTGCTACTATTACATACTAGATTAGATAAAATAAAATTTTGTAGATGTCACATGTCTTCTCGCTTGCATAAATTAAGTCCTTTATTGTACCATTTAGGTTATATGCACCTGAAGAGTATGCAGTCTTTGCTGAACATCTTGTAGGCTGATGTTGGCAGACCTCAATTCTAGTCGTAGTTGTTCCTTTTCTTGTTCATTTTCCATTAATTTCTCTGTTAAAGTAGTCAACTGTTGTTCAAATTCTATTGTCTTGTGCTTGCTTGAAGCTGAATTGAAATAACGAGGAATTACCATTTGATACTATGAATACACACTCATTGGCTTATGATGCATTATGGATTTGTGTCTTAAGAAAGGTCATTATCATCCCTACTGCCTTTCCCACCTAAGTGGGGTATGGATGGATAATATTTGAATCATGATGTTATTTATCTAAGTAACATGTTATTTATCTAGTTTTAACATTATATAGGTATTTTACAATCCTCCCTCCAGAACCCTAAGGTGGACCTGCTTTGCAAATGAACACCCAGATCAAAACAATCATGCATGAATTGAAACTAAAGTGTCAAATTTCTGATAAAATATTTTATCTTGTAAAGTGGAAAAACATATTTATAATGTGAACATTAAAATATTTTTGGCAACTTTTGCATGACTACATATAGATAATGTATGTTTTTAAAAATTTTTGTAATCATGCAAATTATAAAAATTACTGATGGATGCTATTAGATAACTTTTATCATAGCTCATTTGTTACTAAATGAAAATTGTGTTGAAAACCAACACAGGCATTATTTCACTACATGCACAAAGACCTTTAAGATAAGTCACTTGCCGTCTCTGATATTTGAAAAATCTACACTACATCATTAGCAATAGAGGCCCACTAAGTGTTTCTTATAGTTTCTATTAATACAAAATTCATTCCATCAAAATTCTCTTTACATAATAAATACTTTAGTTAAAACACATCAAAAATTTAAAACTTTGCCCATAAAGTTCATGTTTTATTATAATTTAACATATTATTATTATTATTTGGGGATATTTGTTTTCTCGTCTGGTTGGGTTTATAAATTAAAATAAGACAATAGATATAAATATTTATATATTATACATACATAAATAGGACCCAACCAGACGGAAGCCCTCGGCAGAAGAGACCGAACGGCCGAGGGTTAGGGTGAGAGGAAGAGAAACCGGCGGACGATGCGGGCGGTATCGAGGAGCACCGCCTTCTGCATTTGAGCTTGGAGCGTTCCGTCCCGGAGTCCCAGTCGCCTCAGATGTTGGGAGAGGCTGACTGGGATTAACTCATTCGCAGACACGACTATCGGGATAATTTCGGTCGGCACACCACCCCACACGTCGGTCAGCTCGTGAGCCAGGTCCAGATACTTTGTCTTCTTATCTGTTTCGGCTTTCACGAGGTTCTCCTCATATGGAATGGTAATGTCGACCAAAAATACCCGCGACTGTGCCCGGTCCTTCACCACGATGTCAGGTTTGTTCGCGACAATCGTCCTGTCCGTGATGATGGGCCGGTCCCAATAGAGTCTGGCGCGGTCATTATAGAGCACGGCCTCCGGAGAGTACTTGTAGTACGGCAGTTTCCGATCCACGAGGCCGTATTTCAGAGCGAGCTCCTGGTGTAGGATCTGGCTACTAGGTTGTGTCTATGCAGATACTCAGAGTTAGTAAGCATGGAACAACCGGAAATAACATGCCGAAGCGACTCCCCGGGATGGCGACAAGCTCGACAGATGTTGACGGTGCCATCCCTTAGGATGTATTTCCGATAGTTGTTCGTCTTAATAACCTGATCCTGTATCGCACAGACAAAACTATCGGTTTCCCCAAAGAGGTCACCGAAACGTAGCCAGTTAAGGGAGGCAAGAGTATCTACAAAAGGCTCGTGTAGAGCTTTGTAGAACCTCCCGTGGAGCTCTTTCTCCTTCCATACGGCCTCCCGGTCGAAAACGCTCAGCACTCCCGAGTCCTGCCATTGCTCGTTGGCTAAGGATAGAGGGGTAAGTCCTTTATGACAACTAATGACGTCCGTACAGATTGACTCATCCGATCTCGCCAGAAAGTAGTTGCGGAGGATGCACACCTCGCGATTGTGCATGGTGAGGGCGCTTAAAAAGCCCCTCCCGCCATGCTTCCGCGGCAGGTACAGCCTCATCACTGACGATCTCAGATGATGCATTCTGTGGGACGTCATAATTGTGCGGACTTTTCGGTCCAGGGCGCTGAGCTCAGTTTGAGTCCACCTGAGTATGCCAAAAGTATACATGAGGACTGACATGACCCAGCCGTTAAATGCGCGCGCCTTGTTCACGCCTGACAAATGGCTGTTAAATACCTTTGTCAAACGTGCAAAAAACACGTCACAAACTGACTGTTTCATGCCAGCTTCATCGATACACATGTTCTGTGACATACCCAGGTATCGGTATGTTTCAGCCTCAGAGAGGGTCCTTATGCTAACGGGCATAGATATGCTCTCCGTGTTAGCGACCTTACCCCTTTCGACATGGAGGATCGCACACTTATCCGTCCATTTTGATAGAATTGCTGAAATCGCAAGTGATTTTAAGCAATTCCATCAAATGAGAGCGATTGGAGGCGAATAATTTGAGGTCATCCGAAGCTGAAATCCTCCCCCCGAGCCCTCCAGTAATACGCTGAGAGGATTCAGGGAGAGGCAAAACCATATTGCACTCAAACAGTCGCCCTGGAAAATACCCCGTCGTATCCTTATCTGGTATTCCGCAGCCGTCATCTGCTCGCCTCGATGACAAAGGATCGTACTCCATTGCCCCATACAGTGCCCGAGGAAGTCCCTTACTGTACAGTCTACTTTGTACAGTTCGAGGTCGATCTTTAGCCATGTACCGGGTCGAACGCCTTTCTGTAGTCTATCCAGGCGGCAGTGAAGTTCCAACGGTTGCGTTTAAACATTTTGCCAATAACCGCGTCGATGAGAAGCGGGTCCTTGGTTCCACAACCGCCGTCCCGACATCTATTCTGAGCACGAGACATAATCCGATTCATATTAATATTGTTATGAACACACAAAGGAACTAACGCCATCTAGCGTCAACAGTAAAACCACTAAAGAACAAAGACGACATAAAACCCCCTATTCAACACTAGATGGCGTTAGAGGAACTGCTGTGGAAACTATAGTCTCGAAAACCGGGTACATTCGCGAACTTTCCGGAATCACGAACATGTTCGTGCGTGTCGTGTACGTTCCAGGAATGATCTTTCTGGATTAGTCCGGAACCGGTCTCGGCCCATATAAAAAGCCGCGGGGAGGCGAGCGAATACAGTTCAGTTTGAGCTACCTTCGAGGCGACTTCGGAGTGAAAACTAGTGATCAAGAGCGATACCAGTGAAACCTACGACTTGGCTACAATCTAGGACATCGTTAGTGCTTAGTGATTGGACCTAGTGCTTTGTGTTGGACCTAGCACTTCTTCTAGTCTTCTTCCTAAGTCTTCAAAAGAGTCAGCAGGTCTTTCTCTCCAAATCCTTCGAACCCCGAACACGTAACAACTGGTGTCAGAAGTGGGATTTGGAGATGCCATTGACTCCGAGAGAGGACTTCAAGGAGGGTGTCAGGACAAGGGCACGAGCTGCGGAGGCCACACCCACTGGGGACCAAGCCCCGCCCACTGCGGGACAAGCCCCGCCCACTGGCCCCACCGACCAGGCCACGCCCCTCAGACTCCGCCATCCAGACACAAGCCCCGCCCACTCGGGCTCAGGACCCGCGCACTCGGGCACAAGCCCGCCCACTCGGGTGCAGGCCCCGCCCCCTTTGGTGCAAGTACCGCCCACAGACTCCACCCACCGGGCCCCGCCCACCTTGCCACGCCCACCAACGGCACCGTAACTTCTGCAGCCCCTGAAATGGCTCTTCAATTAGGAAGTTTAATTGAACTAATTAGCGCTTTGCAAGAGTCACAAGAACGCAAGCTGACTACGAGCACGTGTTCCGTGCCCAACTGCGTGACCGAGTCCAACGCTCAGGAGAAGGACTACAACAACGGGCGTTGGAAATTGAAAAACTCGTCAGGAAGGCACACCCAGGAGCCGACACCAAGATGGTAGACACGAATATTGTTCAAGCATTTGTGGACGGAATCAAAGACCTGGAGGTCAGAGCTGCAGTGAGGCTTCGTCACCATACCTCGCTAAAGGAAGCACTGGCGCATGCTTTAGAGGTCGAGGCTGTTCGCCATGACATACGTCAGACCCATAAGATCCCCGAGGTCTCTGAGGAAGTCAAGGAGGTTAAGGCTCCTACAAAGAAAAGTTTTGGAGCTATGTGTTACAAGTGCGGCGAGAGGGGCCATCTGCAGCTCAACTGCCCGCAAAAGGAGACCCAGATGGCAAGGATGAAATGGATCGAGGAACAAATAGCGGAGCTGAAGAAGCGAGAGGCTTCGTCCCCTGCCCGGGATCAGTGAAACTAATAAAAGCCAGTACTAAGGGGCGAGTACTGGCTGACGCGGAGGACGCCCCGATAACTAGTTATCTCCCAGGCATGCAGCGGGAATAGCCTTGTGATTCAGGGTACTATTAGTGGGACGGATTGCAAAATGACTCTAGACACAGGAGCCTCTAGAACAATAGTGAACCCTAATCTGGTAAAAGCCGCAAGGGGACTCAAAAGGAGAATTAACTGCCGGCTTCTTGCTGCCTCCGGTCAGCCAATACCCGTCCTGGGAGAAATGTCAGTTACGATGTATGTAGGGGGGTCATCATACTCTCATAACGTCATTGTGGCTGAGATTGTGGATGATTGCATCCTTGATTTGGATTTCATGAAGAAACACAACTGCAGAGTTAATGTCGCTGACGGAGTTTTCGAGTGTGGTGAAGAAGAAATCTTCATTCTTGGAGGCGCCTGCGGGAAAGTCGCATGTGTAAAGAAAGTCATTATACCTGGACGAGCGGAAGCCCAGGTGCTGGTGAAACTTCCGCCAGCTGCAAATAAGGTGTCAAACAGATGCGTGTTGATCGAAGGCACTCCTACCAAGACATCAGCGCAAAAACTGATGACGGCGAGAACCCTTGTTAGTGGAAGCAGTAACGCTGTGGTCAAGGTTTTGAATCTCTGTGATCGCGAGGTCTGCTTGAACAAAGGTGACGTCATTGGAAAGTGCGAGGAAGTTGTCTGGATGAAAAAGTGTAGTTCGACGACAGGCGCAGACCCAGCAAACAGCAACAACTACGGATTAGTGACTGTGCTACTCGATGACTGCAAGAGTAATCTGACTTATTCACAGGGCATGAAAGCTAGGAAGTTTTTACAGCGCTACGCGAATATCTTCTCCAGTCAAGAAGGGGACCTTGGAAGAACTTCGATGGTTCAGCACAGGATAGATACCGGAAGCGAAAGACCAATTCGTCAACGAGCAAGACGGATACCAATTGCAAAGGAAAAAGAAGTTGAAGGCCTTTTGGAGGACATGAGAAGGAATAAGATTATTGAACCGTCTACAAGTCCGTGGTGCTCACCTGTTGTGTTAGTGAAGAAGAAAGATGGTAGCACGAGATTTTGTGTGGACTATAGGCGTCTCAATGATGTCACTAAGAAGGACAGTTACCCGTTACCTCGAATCGACGACACTTTGGATACCTTAAGTGGCATGAAATGGTTCTCGACCCTAGACCTGAAATCTGGATACTGGCAGGTGGAAATTCATCCAAAAGACAAGGAGAAGACAGCTTTCTCGACCGGTAAAGGTTTATGGCAATTTAACGTCATGCCCTTTGGATTGTGCAACGCACCTGCCACATTTGAGCGACTCATGGAGTGTGTACTTGCAGGCTTAGTTGGAGAGGCTTGCTTAGTTTACTTAGATGACATCATCATTGTCGGCCATGACTTCGAGGACCATTTGCGAAACTTGGAGCGAGTTTTCGCCAAAATAGAGGGAGCCAAATTAAAGTTGAACCCGAAAAAAGTGTCGTTTATTCAGGAGCAAGGTCAACTATCTCGGCCATGTTATCTCCAGTGATGGAATTCAGACAGACCCGGAGAAACTGGAAGCAGTTCAAAAATGGCCTACCCCTAAGGACAAAACCGAAGTGCGGGCATTCCTCGGCCTATGCTCATACTACAGGCGTTTTGTTAAGGGATTCTCAGAGATAGCCAAGCCATTGCATCGGCTGACAGAAGATAAACGACCATTCAGTTGGGATGGGACTTGTGAAGATTCTTTTCAGAAACTGAAGAAACATCTGTGTGAAACACCAATCCTGGGGTATCCACAATCTGAAGGTCAGTTTATAGTCGACACAGATGCAAGCAACACGGCCATTGGAGGGGTGTTAACTCAAAAACAGGGTGAAAAAGAAGTTGTTATTGCATATTTCAGCAAATCGTTATCCAAGCCAGAGAGAAACTACTGTGAGACAAGAAGAGAACTGTAGAAGAAAGGCTGGAAGAAAGGCTGTTGTAAAGACACTACAACATTTCAACAAATATCTCATCGGCAGACAGTTTTTACTGCGAACTGATCACGCAGCCTTGAAGTGGCTACTGCAATTCAAGAACCCAGAAGGTCAAGTAGCTCGATGGATTGAACAGCTCCAGGAGTATGACTTCAAGACGGAACACCGCAGTGGAAAGACGCATGGGAATGCCGACGCACTCTCACGAAGGCCGTGTTCAGAAGACTGCAACCATTGCGTCAAACAGGAATCTAATGAAGTAACATTAAAGCTAACGAGAACAAGTCCTTTGGGTCTCTGGGAGAATGATGCTATGAGGGAGGCTCAAGAAAGAGATGACGACCTTCGGCACATCATCACATGGAAGAAACGGGGTGACGTAAAACCAATCTGGAGTGAGGTTGCTCCCACTGGCGCCGTCACAAAGGCGTACTGGGCGCAATGGGACAGTCTGATACTTCAAAACGGAATACTCTACCGGAAATGGGAGAAGACTAACGGCAGAGAGTTCCATCTTCAGATAATTGTCCCGAGAACGAGAGTACCAGATGTTCTCCGTGAAATACATGATGGCGTATCAGGAGGTCATCTAGGTGTCAAGAGGACGTTAACAAAAGTGCGAGAACGATTCTACTGGTTGCACTGTCGAGATGATGTACAGGATTGGTGCCGCAAATGTACTACTTGCGCTGCTGTAAAAGGACCACAGACCAGAAGCCGTGGGAACCTGCGGTTGTATAACGTCGGTGCACCGTGGGAACGAATTGCAGTTGACGTAGCTGGGCCATTTCCTGTAACGGAGTCGGGAAACAAGTATTTTATGGTCGTCATGGACTACTTCACCAAATGGCCCGAAGTGTTCGCCATACCAAACCAAGAAGCTACAACAGTCGCTTCTAAGTTAGTCGAAGAAGTGATATGTCGCTTTGGTGTGCCTCTAGAAATCCATTCCGATCAGGGCAGGAACTTCGAATCGCAAGTATTCCAGGAAGTGTGTAGAATTTTGGGCATGCATAAGACGAGGACCACCGCGTGCCACCCACAGTCTGATGGAATGGTTGAGAGATTTAAACCAGACCCTAGAGAGGCATCTGGCGAAATTGGTAGACGACAAACAAAAGGACTGGGACAAGTATATACCACTCTTCCTTCTGTCGTACCGAACCGCCGAGCATGAGAGCATAAAAGCTACCCCGGCGTATGTCAATTACGGTAGAGAACTACGATTACCAGTAGACCTATTGACAGGAGGGTCACCGGAGGGACCAGAGACCGTACAAGACTATGTCTGCAATTTAAGGAAAAAAAATCGCTATATACACGCCTTGGTTCGGGAAAATGGGTTACAGTCAAGTGAGAACATGAAAACCAGATACGACGGGAAATCTAACACGAACGGCTTCGAGGAAGGGTCCCTGGTATGGCTACATAACCCAACTCGCCGGAAAGGGAAATCTCCAAAGTTGCAGACCAAGTGGGACGGTCCATACAAAGTGGTTACCCGACTAAATGATGTGACCTATAGGATTCAAAAGCAACCAAGAGGGACATTCAAAGTGGTACACATAGACCGTCTGGCGCGTTACCATGGCAGTAACAATGATGCTCGGGACGAGCATCTCTAAGAGGGGAGTAGTGTTATGAACACACAAAGGAACTAACGCCATCTAGCGTCAACAGTAAAACCACTAAAGAACAAAGACGACATAAAACCCCCTATTCAACACTAGATGGCGTTAGAGGAACTGCTGTGGAACTATAGTCTCGAAAACCGGGTACTTTCCGGAATCACGAACATGTTCGTGCGTGTCGTGTACGTTCCAGGAATGATCTTTCTGGATTAGTCCGGAACCGGTCTCGGCCCATATAAAAAGCCGCGGGGAGGCGAGCGAATACAGTTCAGTTTGAGCTACCTTCGAGGCGACTTCGGAGTGAAAACTAGTGATCAAGAGCGATACCAGTGAAACCTACGACTTGGCTACAATCTAGGACATCGTTAGTGCTTAGTGATTGGACCTAGTGCTTTGTGTTGGACCTAGCGCTTCTTCTAAGTCTTCAAAAGAGTCAGCAGGTCTTTCTCTCCAAATCCTTCGAACCCCGAACACGTAACAATATGTCGCGTGATTCTCATGCTCAGAATAGATGTCAGTGCCTTATAGATGGTGGTTAGACACGTAATGGGGCGGTACTTACTCGTGTCTGTGGTAACGTGATCTTTAGGAACCAAATGAGTGACCCCAGTAGTAAAGAGGCTAAAGAGCGACCTCTGATCGAGAGCTTCTTGGAACTGTCGGGCGAGCACAGCATGACAGCCCATGAACCCCTTCAGCCAGCAGTGATGCAGCCCGTCGAGTCCCGGACTTTACCAGTCCGGGACTCTACGGACTGCCTCAGATACGTCGTCGGGTGTTATGACGACGGGGTCCAAGGGTGTAATATCAGCACATTGGCTCGCCACGACTTGCGTCCAAGGGCCCTCGCTGTGGTCTACGGGCTCTGACCACAGGCTGCGCCAGAAGGCAACAGTGTCGGCCTGGTCCGGTCCTTGGCCTGTTCCACAGTTTATTGGTCACTCCAAAGATTTGTAGAGCCTCTTTTGGTCACTCTGGAAGAGACGATTCTGGCTAAACCGCGCCGTCCTCTCGTTATATCGCCAAATCCGCTTCCCCCAAGCAGCGATCCTTTGCTTAAGGTCATCTATGCGCTCCGTTAGTTTTTGCGTAATATCCGGCTGGGACAAGTTGATGTTGATCCCAGCGAACGCCATCCTAACGATGCGCACAATTCTGGGCCTATTATTGCCCGACCTGAAGCTTATCGGCCTGCCGATGGTGGCCCTTACTTTTGCGATACAGTCCTCAATTCTTTTTCGCCATGCTGGGATAGTGCTACCTGGTTTAGTAGCACGCCCAGTCTTTGAAAGTTTGGCGCCATCGATTCGGCATACAGCCCGTGCAGCGCCAAAGAGACTTGAGTCCGTATCGCAAAGATCCCTGCTAGCTTCCAAATAGGTTGCCAGCATCGGGTTAAGAGACCTCACGACAGACCGACTCCGCTTACTTAGGGGTATGCGGGGGAGCCGTGGTCGATTCTCGAGAGGCGTTTCGCGCACCTCCAGAATTGCCCCCTCCAATATGCTTCTCAACTGCTCTATTTCTTCGGCGGCTATTCCATCATCGCAAGAATCTACAGAAGCCGGGGGGTAAAACGCGGCCTCCGCTTCCGCTTGTAACCCTGCGGGATCCGCAGCTTGCGGGGTCGCATTTCCAGCCACTGCATTTTCATCCGATGAGGGAACAGCCTCACGTCGAAGTCGTTCGAGCTCGGCATCATCAAATATTTTTGAATGCCTGATGTACCCAACTCTGTCTGCTAGGTTTTGCTTGGTGACGGTTAAAGATGACTCCAGCTCAGCAAAAAAGCGATGCATCCTTGCCCGATACGCAAACCCTCCAGTTTCATATTAATTTTATTTATAATGTAACTCTCTGTTATAAATTTATTACCAAGTAGGTGATGAGCTTCCTGTAGGGACAGTTCTGCTTTATCTTTATCATTTACAGCTGCAGCTAATCTAGCTCGTAGGCTCTCTATCTCCATATCCAATTTTTCTATCTGTGATGCCAGCTGCTGACACTCTTTCACTCTCATCTACAAAGTTTTAAAAACAATAACAAGTATGTATATCATCACTTATGAATTTAAAATATTAATTTTTACGGCAGTTTTATAGCATACCTCATACATGACCTTCAACTGTTCATTATTCATATACTCTTGTCTGACATCAAAGTTATTTAATCCATTGTGATGGCCTGTGGCATAACAAAAGTATATATACCTATTATAGGTTTAGGTATTTCAGAAAGTCAAGAACACAATTTTTTTTAAATATTGCCCTTACTTTAGGATAACATTATCCTGTATTGTAAGGATGTTTTACAAACATAATTTTCATGAGGACGAACACCCAGATGCCAAAGAACTACCTGTGGATCACACAAATAATTGTCCCCCCATGCCGATACATTGACAACTGCGCCACGGAGTCAAATTATCATTTTTTATTATTATTTCTTATACTTTTAAAAAGTTGATAGCATTAATCAATAGTGATATGCTGATCAATTGTACAATTATAGTCTGCATACATAATAAATACCTCTATATTCTTGATGAAAAATATTATTTTGACCATCACCAGCACCATAAGGGCTGAATGTCATTTTAACAGGATCATCATGGTGTGTCATGTGATGACTTTTTGGAGTATCGCAATATACCTTTGGGGAGTCAGAAGTAATTTCTTTAAGATGATTTAAAGATTCAATATAAGTTGGCGGTAAGCCTGATCTCGGCTGTGTTTGTGCTGAAAGGGTTTACATTAATAAGTAATAACAATTATTAGAAAATTTTGTGAGAGAAATGTAAAAATATTTTTAAGTTTATTTTTTAAGAAAGTAATAAAATATTTACCTCCATTAGCGTGTGTTGTATCTAATGTAAAATTACCACTACTATTCACAGAGCTTCCTTCATCATCGTCTAATAAGTCGTCAAAAGCATTAGCAAGTTTGTGCTTTAACTAAAAACGAAAAAACGCATAAATCAAACACGTCTGTTTATTATAACATAAGATACTGAATTTATTACCTCTTCATTGCGACGTTTTTGATCTTCAAGTTCTTCTTGTTCCTGAAGCCTATCTTGAGCACTGTTGTTTATGTGTATACTCGCAGCTCCTTGAAACAAACTCATCCCTGGACCATCCATGGCCTTCTTAAAGTTAATAAAATAGGTTTGCAATAGTATCTATTTCATTTAGAATATTGTTGCTTAAACTTTATACTTCTTTTATTACAATTATTGCTATATATTTATTTTGTTTTTGAGCTTTTCAAAAGTTTTATACTCACTAAACTCAGTCAGTTTGACGTTTTTATGTCACATGTCAATTCTTTATTTTCTAACGGCTTTTAAGATATTAGAAAATATAATGTTTGTGTGTACATTTGATAATTTTATAATTATTTAAAAAGTTCTTGTAATAATTATTAATATTTAATGTTCTTGTATCTTGAATTAACTGATGTTTTTGCTTTCAGTCCCGAGACTATTAAAGCTTCATCTGACGCAGAACCGGTGGGCTAGCCAGAACCCACGGGTTTGGGCCCTCCGCTGTGGGTAGGGCCACGCATGTGCTCATGCGTGTGTTTAAGTATGGTGTGTCATCTAAGGGCCATCGAGGTCTCGGTTCGGACCGAAACCCCGATGGCCGTCGACTTTGCAATTAGCTAATCGGTTGCTGGGAGCGGTGAGAACCGCCCCGGAACGCGGTTGTACCTTGTGTACCCGTTGTGTTGGTCTCGCCGTGCTCGGAGGCGAGGGCGAACTAGTGTGTTTGTTGTTGCACTAACTGTGGGTGTAGTGATATCCGGCGGGACACCCGGTGGTGAATCCGACGTATCTAAGTCCCCTTCCTCGACCGGGTCGATAAGGACGTTTCGCGGGCGACGCTTGTTGACGTTCGCGTTTGTGTCGGGTTGGTAATTTGCTACGCTTACCACCAGAGGGTTGGGATAATGTTCGGCTCTATCGAAGACCCGTTTGGTCAGGTCTTTAAAATATTCGCGAATCGTCGGGAGTCTGCAATCGCTGTGCAGGTTGACGTTGCGGGAGTCTGCAATCGCTGTGCAGGTTGACGTTGCGTTGATACCACTGCGCACCAGTTGCGAGGTGGATGAACTTATTTTGTACTATTTGCAACTTGTGCAAGCGAGTAAGGTGCGTGTGGGCGAAGGTCATGCATGCGTAGGACAAAAAAGATCGTACGCAGGCCTTATATAATAATTTGTGCCTTAAGGGCATTTTACTTTTAGCGTTATTTAAATTGGGTAGCCGGCCGGAGACGAACACGGCTCTATTGCGAACGTTATTAATGTGCGTCGTAAATAATCATCCCAACCCACTGCTGGTAAGCGCGACACAACAAAAGAGTTAATTCCTTTTATCTTGTTGTAACAAATTATATATCATTGTAATTAGTTTATTGAGAATTTTTATAATCGAGTTTTAAATGAAACTTAAATATACACAAGTATATCGCGACGAATGAGAGCAATATCCCCCATTTAAAAGTTGGTTATGTAAATCTAAGGTAAACACTACGAGTGCTCATTGTAAAGCATGCAACTGTGAAGTACTAAGTAGACTGGCGTCGTTGAAGGAACACATGGCTACATCAAAACATATAAAAATATGAAAGGATATTCCGGCGTTTCTCAGGTATGCAAGTTACTAACGTTAATATGTGGAATGTAATTCTTAGTTAATTATTCTTGTTAAGACTTTTTTTACTTGACTTTTTTAATACTTTCGACTTATGCAGTAGTATGAACCTGTATTATGTTAAAAAAACATTCATTGTCAACTGCTAGTTATATGTCTGAAGTTTTTGGTGGATACTTTTTTTAGTGATGTCAGCCAAATCTGTGATACTAATAGCATACCAAAGTATGGCAATTTGTCCCGATTTGTGAAGCAAATGACGATACTACCTTTGGCAAACGCCAAAGTACAAAAGAATATTTTCCGATATTAATAGGATTAAAAATTAATATCGAAATCAATGTAATAAGAACAATGTTGCATGCAATAATGCATGGAAAAGAAGGGTTAGGAGGGGTCAGTTGGAAGGAGGATGTAGGAGATTTGATCGTGACAGAAGTATGATCATATGGACTCAAAACAGCTTGATGACAATGTTACCCAACATAAAGGCGAAAAATCTTAACTTTAAGTTTAATTTTGTTTTTTTAATTATATTTTTATTTAGAATTTAACTTAAAAAGCATGTGTTACATCAACACAACAACAACTTTGTTATTTTTATTACTTTATCGTTTAATCAAGAAAAATCATGTTTATAGGTTACACAACAGCAAAAAATATATTAGATTTATGATTTTAGTGTTTTCTCGTTCTCTTTTGGTAGAATTCAGTAGTTTTTAACCTCGACAAGCAGTAGATTCGTCAAATAAAATCTGGTCACGCTGCGCCAAATATAATTCTGATAAAGGAATTCCCACTAGTCTATCACACTATGCTCACGGCACGAATCAAACGACCAACAGAATGAAATTTACATAGTAACAATCTATGGCATGATATAATGCGGAATGCCATTAAATAAAACTCACAAATGTGCTCACTATTAATTGTATTTACATCAGAAGAACTTTAGATATGTTCACAATATTTTCACCCTTAAAATAATGTTATTGTTAACAAAGACAAGTCAACCGTTGTGTTCTCAGCGGCGAGTCTCGAGGCAGAGGTAACTCCCCGGTCGCCGACCAATCAGAGGCGACTCGTTTGCAAACCGCGAGTCGCGCGCTTTTGCGCGCTAAATTTAAAATAGACGCGGTGGTTGTTTTCATCCGCCACAAACCCATTCTATGAAAGGGGGAATACCCCGCATTTATCCGATAAGCCAAAAAAGTATTATAATAACTGAAAAGCGTGAATTCTACTAAAATATACCAAATAATTTTTACATACTAAATTCTGTTGCCAGTACCTCAAAATCTACAAAAAAAGTAGAAATCTACTAAATCTGGTCGCGCTGATTTGGCGGAAGTGTTAACGCATCGATCACTCTAGCGTGATTGACTGCTACATAAATGCATTCTCTTGAAGAACATGCTATTCTAATTTTGTGCACAAGAGTGCATACTTTCGAAATATTACTGTTTCTGTGGACTAGGTCCCATCAACATTCCCGCGCGACAGAAGAAGAGATCTCAGGCGTCTCTTGCGATCGTTTCGAACTGGTCGTCTGTTGTGCAAAGCTGGAGGGCATCCGTAATACTTTGCGGGATATCCTTTATTCACGTGTTGCACGCAACTGGGGGAATTCGGGATTTCGCGGTCGTGTGGACTTCGAAATTTTTTTTTTCAAAACAGAATAACATTTTATTTATCCAATACTTACAACATTAAATCTAAATTAAATATTATCTAATAAACCTAGTCATTGTGACACGGTGCCAACCTGAATGCTTAACCTGAACGAGAAAAGAATTATGCTCTTGTCATCAGCCGCGGCGAAGCGATTGTGCACTACCTAGCTTTTCAAAGAAGGAAAAATACATGCAATGCACGATCTTTGCACGAGCACTTCGAAAGCGCTTTGAAATTATAATTATTAAAAATATAAAAATTGAATAATTCGCTTAGAATGCTAAGAATATGGTTGGCCCTACCCACAGCGGAGGGCCCAAACCCGTGGGTTCTGGCTAGCCCACCGGTTCTGTGTCAGATGAAGCTTTAATAGTCTCGGGACTGAAAGCAAAAACATCAGTTAATACAAGATACAAGAAGAATGTGGTTTTCTTCAAGTGTATAGAGGTTTTTTTTATGTGAAAAGTTGCCAAACGAGCAGACGGTTTACCTAATTTTTAGTGAATACCGCCGCCCATGAAAAGCACTTCTTCAGAGTAATTGATGCTCTTCTGAATGATGGTGAAGCCGCCATCGTCTAAGCAAGAGTGGGACGGAGGAGCCGCGTTCGCCGTCACTGATTCGTTATATTTTGGTAACGAAAAGGATATGGACCTCCCCGCGCGAACACTTTCTCAATCGTTGCCGTGTGGTATGTCAATGCAATCACCAACTTACACACAATAGGCTTCACATTTTCGGTTCTGAATGCGAAGTCCGTGTTTTGCAGCCTACAAACGGTATCCTTTCCTCTACCAGTTGAAGCCGTGATTCAAACTTCTGAGTTTCTGAAGGTCCTAGAAGGTCCAGTTTCATTGTTCTCTCCTGGTAAGAGTTCTGATTTCCACTCGCTGATGTCTTTCCACGAAGCTGTTACAGTCGTTAACGGCGTACGCGACAAAAAAGGCATTGCATTAGGTTACTCAAAAAGTATGAATTCTGAATATTATGGATAGTAGAGATGGTCATAGAATATAGGGATCTTCCCTATATTCTATGACCATCTCTACTACGGTTATTGACTAATAGTTAATTCTGTTATACTAATTAAAATTATATATAATTTATTACTCTTTTATTAACTAACTCTTTTGTTGGGTCGCTTCAAAATAAGTAAGTAAATTATCTTAATTGTATTTTATTGTTCCAAAAAAACTAAGTTTCTTATTATTTAAGGCCACGCTCATTAGCATATTAACATTAAAATTGAACCAAGTACACGTCGCGTACCGCCGGCGGCGCTCAGCATTACGACGTGAACGTTCATGGACAATGGACATTCTTCATCAGTCAATTTGATATTGATTTGATACTTCATGTGGATAAGGCGGCAATTTCATTTTTACTAACTATAATAAACTGTTAAAACAGTTTGTTAACTTTTTCCAATACAATTACTGTAAACAATGGCTTTTAACCCCGTAACTCACGTTCTTTTTGATATGGATGGGCTTATTCTTGGTAAGTGTTATGATTTTCATTAATATTTATTTTTATATTGCTCATTGAAATATTGTTAGTAGGATCTCCTATGCTTTTAGTATACTCCCACGATTTCTAACCTTTTCTGCCAACAGATACTGAAAAGTTATACACAGTGGCATTTCAAAATGTAGTGTCACGATTTGGAAAAAAATACACCTTTGAGTTGAAACTAAAGCTCATGGGAACCCAAGCTCATGAGTGTGCAAAAATAATTATATCAGAACTTGATTTACCCATGACAGTGGAAGAATTTATATCAGAAACTAAAGAACAGTTTCAAAATTTGTTTCCTGATACACAATTAATGCCAGGTAATTTATGAGATTATGTTTTTATGTTATTAATGTATCTTTTATATTTAAACAATATAATTATTAGTTTTATATTAAAAATTCCTAGCCTAATAAAAAAAGCATTTTTTTATAGCTTTGAGCTTAAAGTAAATAATTACATTAAAACCAGAAACCCATGGTAGGAATGCAATTATGAAGTCATTATTTTTTGCAGGTGCAAAGAAATTAATTGAACATTTTAATAAAAAGAATGTCCCTATAGGGTTAGCAACTAGTTCAAGTGAAGAAAGTTATCATTTAAAAGTGGATAAGCATCACTCGTCACTATTCTCATTATTTCCCTACAAAACCTTTGGTTCTTCGGATCCTGAAGTGAAAAGAGGAAAGCCACATCCTGATATATTTTTAGTTGCTGCATGCAAATTTCCAGACAACCCTAAACCTGATCAGGTAATAAGTGTTTAAAATGGTATCTTCATTTATAAAAGGTGATAAATATATTTATTATTATCATCAGCCCTGTAATTTAATTTTCTGACCATATAATAGATAATGTTTTTATCCTTGTACTTAATATATTTTTGTTATAGTGTTTAGTCTTTGAAGATGCAATTAATGGGGTAAAGGCTGCTAGATCTGCCGGTATGCAGGTGGTTATGGTTCCAGATCAACAAATGGACAGGAGTCTTACAACAGAGGCAACATTAGTTCTGGATAGTTTAGAAGACTTTCAGCCAGAACTCTTTGGATTACCTCCCTTTGAGTAATAAATAATCTTCCTGAAAAATTCCTTTTTAAAAATTAACTTTTACAAAATTTCCATAATATAATTTTTACTACCAATGTTATTTAGGAAGAATATTCACTCTAAGATTTAACAAGGATGATCCTTCTATAGACAATTCAAAAGCGAAAGGAATAAAAGATTTCCAGATGAGCAAAATAGTTCAACCTGGTAATATTGGTAAAAAAAATACCCTACTTTATTTAAAATCATGACAGATTTTAGGTAGGTAGTATATATCTTCTGTTTCTGTGTATGTCACTGAACACCTACTAAACTGCTGGACCTTTTTTAATGAAATTATTAGTGTCTTCCTTCAGGTTGATTCAAAAATGGTTTAGATTCACAATTCGGTCCAGTACAATTTTCTTTTAATTTTTTTATTTATAAGTTTTTCTATTTACGTTGTGCTTACAGGACATCTTTCGGGTCCACTAGTTTTCTTATATAAATTATATTTATATATATAAATTAAATTATATTTTGCTCTATAGATTTTTATGACGTTAAGCAACAGTATTAAATGAGACTAACATAAGTTTCCTAAATTTGTGTGATTTATATGAACCTATAATTGAATGTATAATAATTATAATAATTTATTATTACATATTTAACACCAAGTGTATTTAACATCAATTTAGTTGAGCAACTTATTTGGAAGTTTAGAAATATGTAGTTATAAATCGAGAATTGTTGAATGACATATAAATATAACACAACATTTTACAAAATGCTATTCTTATAATATTATAAGGCCATCAAATCATTAGCTTGTGATATATAGGTTAAGATTTTATTTTAAAAAAGTTGCCAATTCATTACTAATTTATCTACATCTAACCCGTCCTAGAGCACTTTAGTGTTATATAAAGCCATAGATAAGACAACAGACAGATTGGCTCTGATGTGACATCTTTTAAGTCTTGCTGAGCTGTGTGGAAAATTTTTTGCTTACACATTGAACCATTGTGATTCTGCTTTTTATTTTAAATAGTTTTTGTTTTAATTTATTGTTGTTAATAAAAATGAGTGTAAAGCCAGTAACACATGTTTTATTTGATATGGATGGTCTGATTCTAAGTGAGTAATAAAAAAAAGTAAAAAATAAATTAAATGTGTCATAATTTCGATTAAAAAAAATATTGAACTATAATTTCAGATACAGAGGATTTATATACAATAGGATTTCAAAATGTTGCCTTGCGATATGGAAAAGAATTCACATTCGCGTTAAAGTGCCAAATAATGGGACAGCAAAGCGAGGAATTTGCCGCTTCTATTATCAATAGCCTTGAATTGCCGCTTACGGTCGACGAGTTTTTGAAGGAAACTCGCTTAGTTTTTCGAGAATTGTTTCCAGAATCGAAAATATTGCCCGGTTAGTAAGTTGTAATTCGTTGTAAATCAATTGCATTTTAAAGCTTTATTAAATTGGATAAAGCTTTTCGTATCTATAAATAATTTTGGTATATTAAATAAACAGTACAATGTGATCGACACAAATTAATTATTATTCTGCGCTAACATTTACGTCATAACAAGAACATACCTTAAGAATTGTTCAACTTATTTTGAATATCTCCATATATTATTCCATAAAGGTGTTATTTTTCGGTGAACTTCACAAGTTGTGGCCCACCCAATGATATTATAATTCAATATGTCGTTAACATGCTCAAAGTGAAGCCATGAAAACGTCCTAATTGTGACGTCTTGTCTCTAGTTCACGCGCGGACTAGAAAATGTTAGAAAAATAACATTTTATTAGTCCGTGAGTTGTCCGTGAGTGAGTTGTGAGTTCACGTTAAGGCGCTGTATGCAGTAAAAATAGGTTTTTTTAAAAAAAAATTAACAACATCTATACATTTTATAGAATCAAAAAAAATATATGTTAATCTTGATGTTACATTCTAATGGACCATTGTTTTCAAAATATATTCTCGATACGTTTTCTCGATAGAAAAAAATAACGAACCTACCTTTAAACGTGAAATTCAAATAAAAAAATAAATGAACAAATCTTAATGAAATTGATATCTGTGGTGTAGAATGTATTAATAAAAAGGACTGTTGTCTTAATTTGTAAATATTAATTTAATTCATTAAAATTAATTGAACGCGATGCCCAAGACACCGCGCCACAGCGGTGTTGTTTCGGTTCTCTTCCAACTCCACACGTTGAACAGAGAGCGCTGAGGCGCCTTGCTAGATGGATCTATGCCGCTCATCCTACGCTCACCGTTACGAAATATGTTTCGTATTTATTTATTATTGAGAGTTTTAATTTTATTAGACCTTCGAAAACACGAAACTAAAAAATATATATATACACATATTTCGTATTTATAAATTATTTGTATGTGTTAACAGTTGTTAATTAATTTATTTAAAGCATAATTTGAATGTCTTATCTCGTGATTACACATACAGTGTATAGGACCATCATTCTTTATGGATTGGGTTGAAATCCTTAAATTTTTTGTTGCACTTATTGTTGATTTTCTTATTTGGAAGTATTTCTTAATTACCATTTAATTATTGTTGATTTTTTTATTTTCATAAATAATTACAACGAAATATTATTGTATTTGTTCAAAGTTGAAACAGTTGGAGAACAGTGAAAATTTATCTTATACACGAAAAATAATTATTTTATAATTTTTTTTATAATTTGTTTATTTCTCAAATTGAGCCATTTTATAAAATAAAAACAAAATAATTAGTTGGCTAACAAATTAAAAGTGAAAATAATATAAAAAATACAACTCCACTTGATGAGTGGTTTGAACTTGGGACTACAGCAATAGTTTACCGTTGTGTATGACGCTCGGACCTACAGGCTACGCGAAGTCTGTGCAAAGTGACGAAACTTCGATTCTAGTTATAATTGCTGTCGTTTATCGATAAAAATAAGGATTTTATCGATAGTTTTTTAAATTTCATTTTAGTTGAAAAAGTAATATAACATAGTAAGTCTTGAACATTTAAAGGATAAATTAAAATGCCTAATATATAAAAAAAATGTAATAAAAAATTTGTATTCGTAATTTCTGCAAAAATTTTATGAGCCATTTCTTTAGAATCACAATATAAACCATAAAAACAAAAAATAATAATTATAAGTAATTAGCCTTTAATAATTTATTTGACTTAAGTATTTTTAATCAATTGCTTTTCCATTTGATTAAAAAAATAATAATAAACAGGAAGCAGATTTTCTAAAATTGTTGATTGCTTTCTCATACTCTATATTTGTTTGTTTATTATTATTCCTATTATAATATAAAAGTAAAATACAATCTTGGCCTATAAAAGATATTATAGGTATCATCTGTGTACATTTCGAAAGCCTTCCATGATACTACCGATAGTATCCTTCGGCCCAGCACTACCCACACACTAGGTAATGAATGACTTGGTCTAGCGGCGCGTCGACGAAACCCGCGCGCTGCGCGCCCCTAAGCGGCGTTACGCCTCCTCCGCTTCCTCATACTTCACCACCCAAATAGTTACAATTCACTGCATACAGCGCCTTAAGCTCGAGCGGATTTACATTGGTAAAGTGATTAGTGAAGTAGTTAAGTACAGTGGTGTAAAACTATCCGACAGTAGCGAGTCATTTTGGCTTAATGCCCCGTGGGGGGCACTTGTCAATTGTTTATTGGACACGTATACGCGTCAACGCGCTTCAATTTAGCACTGCTCACACACAGCGTCAACCGCGAAGTGGCGAATTTTTAAATGAACTGACACTACTGGATACTTTTATTTATTTTTAGCCATTTATTTTTTAAGCTTACATTAAGTAGCCTAGTTGACTCGCTACTGCCCGATGGTTTACACCACTGTACTTACGTACTCACTGTATTTATCTACTTCACTAGACACTTGACCAGTAAATCGGGATTTAGGCAGGGCTGAGTGTAAAACGCGGTATCAAAAATTTTACAATAATAAAAATGCCGTCGTGTCTCTTTATAAGATGTACCAAGAGATGTAAAATGACTCTAAAATTAACAAAATACAAGGAATCTCATAAGATATAGAATCTCATAGAATATTTTAATTTGTATATATTAGAAAACAAAGAAAGAGGCAGCAAATAAATTAAATACGGGGAAGAGAAAGATTGACGCACCCCCGGATATAGATAAACAAGGCCAGATACGAATCTGGTAAAGCCATCGTTCCTACACTGTTAGGTTTTCCTTTATTCTGTCTATTAATTAATTATATGTAGGTACCTACTTGTTTTATGTAAAGTAAAAATAAATGTAACTGTAAATGTAATAGAAATCTGTTTAAGGTAACAAAAGCAGAGTATTAATAAGGTAATAATAATATTAAATATTTTAGGACACATTTTACTCAACGTTCTCTAGTCCCAAGCTAAGCAACGCTTGTAATATGGGTACTAGATAACTGATAATCATACTAAAACATTAACTTTCGTAAATAAATACATGTAAACACCCAGACATTGGAAAAACACTATGTTCATCACACATTTTTTTTCCAGTCGTGGGGATCGAACCCATAACCTCTGGCGTACGAGGAACGTTAACTACCCACCACGCCAATCGGGTAGTCAATCAAAATAGAATTCTGTTTAAAAACAAGTACCAAATTTGGCCCGTTGTTCTCCCGATTTTACGACGATAAAAATAATGCTCGTACAGAGGCAAATCAAATCAGATGAAATATCTTTATTCAATATAGAAGCGTTACATCACATGTTGATTGTCAAAAACTCTACTACCGGTTCGCAAAGAAAGTCCCTGACCTGTGAAGAACCGGCGAAAGAAACTAAGGGGGAATTTCTTTTTTTTAACTTAATTTGACAAAAAAATAACAAACATGTGTACAATTTATTAAATTGCACTTGAAAGAGAATGGAGCGATAAATTAATTTCCAGAGGTCTTAAAACATACATTTCACAGGAGTTGGAACGCTTATACGTCATTTGAGCGAACACAACGTGCCTATTGGTCTGGCAACGAGCAGTAGTAAAGAAACTTACGATTTAAAAGTACAAAAACATTCAGAACTGTTTGATATGTTTATGTACAAAACATGGGGATCTTCGGACCCTCTGGTAAAGAGAGGCAAACCATTTCCGGACATATTTCTGGTTGCTGCTGCCAAGTTTCCAGATAAACCGGTCCCAGATAAGGTAATGGAGTTGTAGAGAAATTCAACATCCTTTTTTTGTTTCAAAAATTGATAACCGATCTCAATAACTACGATTTTTGACAACGTCATACTTCTGTTGCCGCTTATGGAAAAAAATTTAACGATGCGCGCGCACACTGACTCAAAAAGCGACACGATAAAGTTAGCGACGCAAACAACATTTACCAATAATTTCAAGTTATTTAAATAAACCGTTATCAATTGCATTTAATGTCTCTACGCTAAAGAGGTATTAGTTCTTGCGTGTGTATATAAGAACACACATAGGTACTTTTTTTAAATTAATAGCACGAGTTCGTGTGTACGCGCTTTAGATAAAAGATATATTTCTAACTAATAATACAGATATTAATATGTATACGTGATACGCTAGGTTTTGGTTTTAATAAAATAATCACTTGTCCCATTTGCCCATGTTCTTCTTTTTAAATTTAGTATAAATGTCCTTTTAATGTTAATGTTGTGTATTAAAACCGATATTTCGATGACATCCGAATACAGTAATACTTGTACGTCGAGCGATACGTTGGACTGAGAGATAACCGCGTAAGTTGAGGTATAATTTCGCGTATAGATACATACAAATAATACTTTTCTTTTATTACTCTTGCTCGTTCTTGTATTTACCTAAATCAAATGCCGTTTCACCTAATAAAGTACATGCATCAGAGTTTTTTATGTATATTTTATTATTTTAACGTTGGAATGTATGTACTGCTCGTTGCCTTGTTAATTATTAATAAATAAATAGAATCTTATCCTTTAAACGAGCAATTCTTTTATATATATATAATCGGAATCTCGGAAACGGCTCCAGCGATTTTCATGAAATTTAGTATGTGCGTAGATTCGGGGGCGACAAATCGATCTAGCTAGGTTTCATTTTTAGAAAATGTCCTTTTATCCCTGTTTTCAGGGAATGAAAATATCATTCGAATATGACGGTAAATTTCGCTGCAAGAGAAAATGTCATAATAGCTCGGTCGGTAATCGGGCGGCCCCAAAACAGACGGCCGTTGTTCGTGTCACGATCATTTACACACTCTTTTTTTTACTTTTATTTCGATTCCAGATCATTGCTTTCTTTATTTTTAATTTTTTTGTCGATTTGTTATTTTGTAACTTTTTCCCTTTTTTTTAAAGTATAACATATATAACATATTTTCTTATTATTACGTCGGTAAGATCGAAAAATATTACGCATATTTCATTACTCAGTAATTTGTATCTAAATGTAATTTCCAAAACACACGATTTACCAAAAAAAAACAAACCGAGCAAAGCTCGGTCCTCCGGGTACTAAGTTTTAACAAAAAAAAAACCGACTTCAAACAGGAGATTAAACATTGTTAATACCTATAACATTTGAGGATTGCCCTCGATTTCTCTGGGATGCCATCATCAGATCAGAGTTTCCTTATCGTGGTACCACACTTGGGATATCCTCGCCAACAAAAAAAGAATCATCAAAATCGGTTCATAAACGACAAAGTTATCCGCGAACACACATAAAAAATATATAAGAAAAATATACAGTCGAATTGAGAAACCTCCTTCTTTTTTGAAGTCGGTTAAAAATGGATGACCTTGTTGTAAAGGAAATAGAGTATTTGACGCCAAATATTGCTTTTTTTTCTACTATGGCTCCACTGATACGTCAGTGATTTTGCCAATAACTTGGTACTTGGAGATCGACTAGTCTGAGGACATGATAATAATAATCTACTGTATTAAACCACTTTCAGTTGCGTACCTGTAAAGAGAGGAACAAAACACCTCATTAGTAACACACGGTCATTAGTAATTTGACATCAACCATACAAAAATATATTGCTTATAAGTGTAATAAAAACAGTTGATAAAATACCTGAAGATTTTCGTCAATGTGAAATTAAGCTGCTTAGCTCAGTGGCTAAAGAGGAGGCTTAAGTTCTCGCAGCGGCGAAAAACTTTTCATCAATTACGTTCTTGATTACTTCAGTTTCTTTTACACCGAGTATCATATTTTTTTTATCGACCCGTAATTTATGCGGCAGCGTACAAACTGTAAATAAATTATTTTTGAACTGATTTATAGACTATTCTTACTTAGCTGCTGCTCCAAGACTACGTCTACGTTGCCTATATGTTATATGAAAAAGCATCAAAAAGATAGGTAGCGTTTACAATGCTTAACTAATAATACTTATTGGCGGATCCTTTGGAAGCCAAAAGCGAGACCACGTTTCCGTAATGAAACCTGTCAAACTAAATAATTTTCTTATAACCCTATGCGTTCGATGGTGTAGCCAAATTCTTAATTGTATGACTCCTTCACATTTAGTAACACCTTTATATATGTATCGGCAAATAACAAAAAGCGGCATAGAAAGTTCGCGAATGTTCTCTTAGGTGCAACCAATGGTGTCGGCTTGCGCGGCTTATAGGTATATTTTTAATTTACTACTTCGCAATCGAATGCATTTTTCAAGATGTTTGCCGGTCACTATATATAACTTAATTATTTAAATGTCGAACGTCATTAATGCTGTCAATGCATAAAACACACTGGTAATGATAAAAACACTGCCTGTGTTGTCAATGATAATCTTAACAGTTGCCAGCATTAAGAACATATTGATATATATCTCTCTTTCCAGGTCTTAGTGTTTGAGGATTCTATCAACGGTGTGAGGGCTGCCCATTCGGCCGGTATGCAAGTCGTTATGGTCCCAGACCCTAGGTTAGACCGCGCTTTAGTTCCAGAAGCAACGCTCATCTTGGACTCTATGATGGACTTCCGGCCCGAAGCGTTCGGTCTCCCGCCATTCGAATAATAATACAGTTTATTATGTTATATTGTTATTATTCAATTTACTAGTTTATTCTACTAGCTAGCCTATAGTATAATTTACTAGTTTATTTTGGGAAAAAGGTCATCATTGGGATTCGAGTCAACTGTTAACGACGAGGTGAACCTGGATAAATTTAATTACCAAGAAATGTACATTTGTACCTAAACAGAATTTTTTCTTAGAACACTTCGAGGGCAGAATATGCATATAAATATTAATGAATAAACCATGATGATAAAAATTAAATAATATAAGCGATTATTTTAAAGATATCTTTCGTTTTATTGGTTACTGTTACGTAATAATATATACAATGTATAAATGTTACTGTCTTTTAAATTTATCTGAAACTAAGTTTTAGCGTAAATAAACTCCAGTTATGGTTAAACTTCGTAGTTAATTATACTATAAAAATATTTCATTGTATCCTCTTTAAGGTCGTATTCGATATGCTGTACAACATATTTATTACTGCAACTAGGTATTTTAAAGCCACGAAGTAGGTTAGACGAATGCTTTAAATCTTATACGTGTTTATGTAATGTTCTCTAGATTACACGCTAATATACAATGTGTTTCATCATAAGATAAATAACTAGACGAAGCGCTAAAGAGTAATACCACAGCCACTTCCACGTCTTCTGTGAGGCCGTGCTGCATACATCAAACTAACATGCCTATTCGTTCCACAGCACACGCAGCTGCGTGGCCCTACACGTGCATTAAAACATTGAATATATGAATTATACGTTTTTGTAAATCTATATAATTAGTTAGAAGATATTTTACCGTCCATAATTTTATCTATTAGTCTCATTTCACGCGGTGCGCAAATGGTGCTCCTCCAGGAAGTCTGATATGGCAAAATGGGTTTTGATCGATATAATTGGCAGATTCTTAGACGTATCCTACCCTACCTTTTATATATATTTAAATCTACAGCTCTCCATTGCAAATCTGAGCAACGATAATATAACTAGTACCTATGACGTAAAGAAGCGCGTCATGGTTTTGATTATTTACAGTATTGATAAAGAAATGATTGGTTGCTTAACGAACATACAAAACGCCGAAGTAAATCCCCTGTAGGACTTTTCCCGTTAGATAAGTCCTCATTTTTACATACCGCTGCAGTCTTATCAGCATCGTTACCTTAAAAGCGCCTTTTTTTTCTTTATGTGAAGAGTTGTTTAGCGAGCAGGCGGCTTAAATGATGTTATTACCTACCACCGCCAATGAGGGTTTGCAAATGCGAATGTTTGGAATAGACCCCGGTTGCCTCACTCATAAGACAGAACGCCTGTCTGATTTTCACTTCACGCTTGGAGTAAGTTTCGTGGTACTTCCTCAGTGGTCTGCTCACACAGCAGCAACATACCTGCCAATAGCAACTGACAGGTATGTTGGAATGTAAAAAGAGAACATTACTTACAAATAAGCATTAATATCGCAAAATGCCTGCCAGTATCTACAATTAGTACAGCAACGAAGTTTGTTAAAAGCCGCAATAAGACATAACAACAAACTTTAGACATAACCAACATCTTATTACGTAAAGTAACAGTTGTTTCATTAAAAATATGTATACAAAATATGTTATAAAAATGTAATTTGAAGTGTGCTGTAAAGAAATCACATTAGATTACGCGAATTGCTAAAATACAATAAAAACAATGTACATAGCATATCGAGACTTTCGCGTGATGAAAATTTCAAACGCTAACCTTAAGTGTCTAAAGAGTAGTCTGTTCGCGTAATCAGGACGACGCAGGTTCAAATCATGGCAGCGGTGAAATAGTTTTATCTAGGTATACATTTTTAGGTTTCATTTCATATTAAGTGCAGACTACCACTAAATATTAAAGTTTGTTCATTGCTCATGTCAAGGCTTAAGAACTGCCCAGTATAATAAATTAACTTAATATCAGTAGTCAAATAGTGTAAGTAAACAATTTTTATTGGGCAAATTGTTTGTATTTTTCTGCAGATCAATGGGCTTGGTCAAAAACGTCGGCGGTAAAGTAAAAGTATTTATATCGATCCTTTTCGTCAGAATAGCGAGGTAGCTGAGTAACCATAATTATGTAATAAACTTATTCATCAAACATTTGGTTCACTCATTTGCAACTCCTCAAATGTTACTACAAGCTAGTAGTACAATTGTACTACTAGCTATGCCGATGACTATTTGCTAACAATTTTGATGGATGGATGGATACAAACCAATTCTGATTTTTCTTTTTGGTTACTGGGTCTATAAACACTCCATTTAATATAGACAATGAACACATTCTTATGCACACTTTCATGGAAAATATATATGAAAGTAATTTTATTAATATTATTTCCAGTTAGTAAATTAAACAATAGATAACATAACAAAATATTTTATTGTCACTTTGACTTTGACTAGAACATATTATTTTGTATAATATTATATATACAAAGTAAAGTACTAAGTGCATTTTCTTTTTACGACCAGTTTGCTGCTTTTTTTGTAAATCTTGCTTAAGTTATGAAGCTATATGTTATGCAATGATAGTATTAACTTGTTTGGCGTCTTATTCTTTTTATCCGCTTGTTTAGCATAAAGTGCCAGTAGTTAGCCTTTAGATCTGTCTTTTGGACAACAGAGTAAACTAAATTTGATATAATTTAAATATGAAATGACAAACAAAACAATTTACTAAAAATAAATAGATATTGCAATTATATTTTAAGAAGAGGTTAAAATATCTATTCATACATGATAAAAAATAGAATACTGTTGGTTTATATTTATTAATTAGGAACATAACAAGAGGTAATTGAAAATAATACTTTACAGGTTAGTGTGATTAGATCGATTAATTATCATGGGTCACTCCATTTAATTACTTCTAAAAGCTTACATGTACACTGCCATAGCAAAAAAAAAAAACAATATTTAAAAGAAAAAAACAATCAACAATATTACAAATAAATAAAAAATATAAACACTAGGGAACAATTCATAACAACATATTTTACCCACAATATATAAAGGACGATTATATACGACGATACTAATATATAAAAGTCTCGTGTCACCGTGTTTGTAATTGAACTCCTCGAAACGGCTCGACCCATTTTCGTGAAATTTTTTGTGTATATCTGCCAGGGTGGAGAAACCAGGGAGCTAAATGTTAAGGGTGGTCCAACCCAAACATTTTTATCTACCCTACAAATAATTTATATGGCAAAAAAACATTTGCTGGGTCAGCTAGTGTATATATATATATATATATATATATATATATTTAAATTGCACTATAAACTTATTATACATATAACTAAGTTGTATAAATCGTAAAGCATAGTAAACAAAGGAATTCCAGACAATTATTTTCTATTAATTGTGTATACAGCGTGTCGTTACCATCGCGACAGTAAATGAACACACATAAAGATGATAACTTTTTAAAGTTACATTTAAATTATTTAAACATCAATATTTACAGAGTTATTAAATTTTCCAAAACAAAGAATTTTAGAACACCCTTACCTATAAAAGCGTAACGTAAAGTTGATTTGTAAAGGTCACAAAGCATATGAATGGGTTGAATGAATTTAAAAGAGACAAAACATACTGTTAGAAGGAGAGGTTTGTAATACGACGCCGTGGCGCGAGTTGTATAGGATGTTACATATTTTGTTTCTTTTTTACTTAATTAGTTTGTTTGAAAAATATTTTTTTTTAAATTATGGATTTTATTTGACGTTAATAGTTTTTATGATTATTGGCAAGTAGCGTTAGACGTGTGTTCATTTATTGTCGCGATGGTAATGACATGCTGTATACACAGCATAACTGAAATATTAATAATTATTATTAGAATTATCAATATTTACATCAGAAACCTTTTTGGGAAAATTCTTGAAATATATACACACCGGCACAATTAGCGGAACAGAAAAAAAAGTGTGACTATGAGATAATAACGCATATATTTGACGAAAATGTAATTAGACACAAAATAACAAATTGATTAAAATCTTTTAACAACGACTTTGAAAAGTCTTCGTTATTTTTTTATTGAAAAATAAAGAAATTTGAAATAAGTGAAATTTTTAGATGATTATGAACCATCACAAAAAATAAAAAAAAGTAAATGATTTAACAATAAAATTAAAGCAAAATTAATAACAAGTGTTTTCCCCTCTTGCTCTGATTACGGTTTCCATTCGTCTGGGCATGCTACAGATTATGTTATCGATGATTTCTTGAGGCAACCGCTCCCACTCCTCAAGTAATGCGGCGTTTCCAAGTTCATTCAGATTGTTGGGGGGTGGCATTCTGGATTTAACCCTTCTTTTTAGCAAGTCCCAGACATGCTCCATCGGATTCATATCGGGGGAATTTGCTAGCCACTGCATCACCGGTATAGCTACGTGGCTCAGATATGCCTGTACTGATTGTGCACTATGAGCGCATTATCTTGCATTAGAATAAAGTCTTCACCAATAAATGGGGCAAATGGTACAACATGTTCTTCTAAAATGTCTCTGATGTATCGATCTGCTGTCATGGTCCCTCCTGTGACTATCACTAATTCCGTGCGAGCTCCCAAACATATCCCTCCCCAAACCATAATCGAGCCGCCACCATAAGCCACTGTGTGTTCAAAATTAGACTGTGGCGTATTAATTGTGGCGTTCTCCTTCGCGTCTCCATATTCGCTGTCTTCCATCGATCTGTTTTAAAAGAACTCTGTACTCATCAGTAAAGAGAACCTGCTGCCATTCGTTCAAATCCCAATGACGATGTTCTCGCGCATAGCTTAATCGGTTTACGCGGTGACGTCTCTCAAGTTTTGGGCCTTTGGCAGGTATACACGACCCTAAACCAACTTCTTCAAATCTCCTGCGAACTGTACGCTCACTTACTCGTACTCCTCGAACGTTTTCCAGTTCATTTCGAGCTTGTACAGCCGTTAATCGCGTATTCCTACGAACTCCAAGTTGTAAAAAACTGTCATCTCGCCTCGATGTACATCTTTTTCTACCTTGACCCCTCCTCCTCAAAAGAGAATTAGACGATCTGTACCGCTGGATGCTGCGATGAATCGTTGATACTGGTCGACGAAGCCTTGAGGCAATCCATCTGTAGGTATGGCCATTTCTTTCTTCTCATTTCATCAGCCCTAATGATTTCCAGTGATGTTAAGTCAGGCATAATAAAGAGCTTTTAATAAACAAAATTGCCTATAGAATAACAAATTTATAAAAAACCATTAAGTGCAAATTTTCAAAAAAATTACAATTACGTAGTTATTACTCGAACAAGTTGACAAAACGTATTGTTCGGGAAAATAAAACAAATGAATGAAAAAAGTGTATGTCATCTAATTTTCTATTTTCAAATTTGACAATAAATTAAAAAAATATCATAACTGGCCAGTTCCTCAAGTAAAAGATTTTAAAATCCTGCTTTTTTGTGTTCCGCTAATTGTGCCGGTGTGTATATAAATAAATAAATATTTAGGACACATTCTTTTTACTTCTTGAAATATATATATGGGAACATTCATGTTTCTAATAGAGAGGGACAGGTAGTGACTAGATTTCATCTATAATCACTTTAATATTATTAAGTGTTAATATTTAACTTATTCGTAAGGTGGCAAGCCAAAAACCTCAGGTTGGAATTCTTCCAATGACTGTAGAATTAGTGTTGCATCTGCCAGTTGATCAGGTCCAATGCGTGGATCCGGCACTATTACAACTTGCATATTTGCAGCACATGCAGCTTTTACCCCATTAACAGCATCTTCAAACACCAAACACTGGAAATTTAAGGATACATTTTATTTTATATTAGTTAGATCAGTAGATAAATTGTTATATTAAACTCTCATTTAAACTTAATCTTGAATGCAGATTAGCATTAAAAATTAAAAGTATTCCCAAATTTCAATAGAAAAGGTTGAAAAATAAAATAAAATGTTGTTTTCCAGAAAAAAAAAAAAAAAAAAAACTAGTTTTCAAATCTAATCAAAATTCTGAATCATTGGATTTCTTTACTTGTACAGAATATTGTGAACAAATTAATTAAAATATTCAGTTTAAAATCTGTTGTTTATGTCCAAGTCTAAATGAATGTTGTTTCTTGAAAGTTTAATTCCAAGTGATTCTTTACTTTAACATTTTTATTTCATTATAAATATACAGCGTGTCTTTACAATGGCGACAATAAATAAACACACATATAGAGGATAACTTTTTAAAATTGTATTAAAGATTTACATTTTTTAAACATTAATATTTACCGAGTTATCAAATTTTCCAAAACAAAGAATTTTAGAACATCCTTACGTATAAAACTGTAACGTAAAGTTCATTTGTAAAGGTCACAAAGTACATGAATTGGTTGAATGAATTTAAAAGAGACAAAACATACTGTTAGAAGGAGAGGCTTGTAATGCGACGCTGTTGCGCGAGTTGTATAGGATGTTACAAATTTTGTTATATGTACCTAATATACAGCGTGTCGTTACCATCGCGACAATAAATGAACACACGTCTAAAGCTACTTGCCAATAATCATAGAAAAACATTAACGTTAAAAAAAATCCATAATTAAAAAAAATTTTTTTCAAACACTAATTAAGTAAAAAAGAAACAAAATTTGTAACATCCTATACAACTCGCGCAACAGCGTCGCATTACAAGCCTCTCCTTCTAACAGTATGTTTTGTCTCTTTTAAATTCATTCAACCAATTCATATACTTTGTGACCTTTACAAATGAACTTTACATTACAGTTTTATACGTAAGGATGTTCTAAAATTCTTTGTTTTGGAAAATTTGATAACTCGGTAAATATTGATGTTTAAAAAATGTAAATCTTTAATACAATTTTAAAAAGTTATCCCCTATATGTGTGTTCATTTATTGTCGCGATGGTAACGACACGCTGTATACATAACATCAGGGCATTAAAAAATAAATTATTTTTAAAAATTAATAGGTTTTTTAATGTTTTTTTATTTTATTTAATGACCTTTAGCTAGAATAAAAAATTCAATTTGTTTGTTTCAGTTTTCATTGCAACTGAGATCATGTGATCGGTTTTGGAATTTCTTCTGTTAGCCATTGTGTCTTTGATTGATACTTAGAAGACGCAGGTTTGAAACCCAAAACTTTTCGAAAATTAGGACTAATAATAAATAAAAAAATATATTAATTAAAATTCTTTCTAAAAAAATATTTTGGTGTAATTTATCAGATGGGTGTAGACTACAGTTTTTAATAGTGTTTTTAAGTGTACTTTTAAGTTATAAATCATATTAATGTTCAAGGTTTTTGCTTTTAAATTTTTATAATAATTACTCACATTCTCGGGCTTTGGTTTATCAGCAAATTTTGATGCACATACTAAAAATATTGCTGGATCAGGTTTTCCTTTTGTTACTTCAGGATCTGTGCTGCCCATTGTGAGGTGGTGGAAGTTTTGCAAGAAACTCTGTATGATTTTGCATTTTCATATCAACACTGTCTTGACTTGAGCTGGTAGCCAATGCAATTGGAACACCTTTATTATGTAAATGTTCCACTAACTTCTTTGCTCCTGAAATAAGTTCTGTATTACTACTTACAATGCTAGACATAATTGTTTTTCTTAGTATACTGTTTTGGTATATACTTAAATATAACAGATTGCATTAAATTATGTAAATTAATTTTCCATTAATTTAAAGTATAATTTAGGTAATTAACTAACAACAAGGCCATTATTAAAAAGTGTTCTTTTGTATATCAATAGTAGTAGTAGTAGTATAATAGCAGCAATTTATAACATAATAAACGTTGCAGTTTACATACCAGGCATTAAGGAAACATTTTGAAAAAGCACTTCATATTCCATTTTACATTCCTCCAAAAAACTTTCCACAGTTGTGGGAAGATTCACAGATTCGATAATCTTTTCAGCACACTCATGTCCTTGAAAGCCTAGGATACTTTTTTTTAATTCCCATGTAAATGTTTTTCCATATTTGGCACATACTTTTGTAAAAGCTTCTGTATATAATTTTTCTGAATCTGTAATATATGAATAAATATTAAAAATTATTAGCATCATGCTACATAACATAACAAATTCTCCTTTATGATATTTATTATTGGTATTTTTTCGTGTTTTAATCTAAATAAGGTATAATACTATCATGCAGAGTTGTACATTATATAATGTGATACAATAATGGACTTGGACTATAAATTTATTTACCAATATTTACCTATTAATAATCCATCCAAATCGAACAGTACATGGGTAACCTTTTTATAGTTTATTTTCATTGTACTATTTTAAATGTAATTGACATGAATTTTAAACATTCTTCATTATTGTAAGAACTGTATGTTATATAGTGAATCAAAAGTAACAAATTCAAAATATAAAGTATAAGTACTTTGTATTTTGTTAAATAGTAAAAATAGGTTTAACTTTCTACTTGATACCGCGTCGCGTCGGTCGCGCGCAGATATGAGATTTATATTTCAGAATTTCAGATAATTATAAAGTACTCTTTAAGATATCTAAAAAAAAAACTCTTTGGTTTGGTCGCGTGTGCGTGAAAGTCGTGACAGATATCACGTGGTTAGTCGTGGTTATACCCCCTAGTGATGTCGTCGTTCATACTATACGTAAAGAAAGATACTAGTTATCGATGAAAGAATCGAATACGATTAAAATAAAATTGTTTCTTTGCATTCAAGGATTTGGGCGCCATGCCTGCAATGTAATATGTCGCGTGTACCTATATGGAACGAGACACTTGTCGCACTCTCGTAAACAATACGATTATAAAAGCATATAGCGTACGTAGGTCTCAGCCAAACAAATTTACAACTCTCATTACATAATAAATTGGATTGCAAACTTTACTATTGGCACTGATTACATTTTAATAAAATGAAATTGAATGGGTCGAAACCTTCTACAGGAGGACATTCTTTACAGAACAATAGTTCTAATGAACTAGAAGCTAGAACTAGCTAGGACTCGCGATAATGAGCTACATAATTAATATGAATGATATTTAATACTACACATAGAGTTGACGTCAGGCAGGCGGCTGGTTGTAAAAATATAACTAAAAACGCTTACAACATGATTCATGTTGTGCCGATCCCACCTAGGAGGCAGGAGGATGATGATTGTTGTATATTGATGATTCTTGTATACTTGTCCCTCTATTTTAAAAGTTCGCGTCAAACGAAGTCATTTGAAAAGGGCTATTGCACTTTCGGATGTTGGTTAAAAATGTCCAGATGGTGATTGATTATTTGTCAAAAGATTTTTATTGGCTGTGCTCCTCAATATTGGGGAGACTAACTTTTCCAGAAGCACAGCACATACCGTTTTTGGTTCATCGACCCATTTTTTGGCAGAACACTTACAGCAGATCTTATTCATTGCTCCGATTTGGACGGAAGACTGTTGAGGTTAAAGCATTAATGCTGATCTGTTACTATGAGCTAAAAGTCGATTACGAACTCTAGTCGTTGACGTTTGTTGTCTTTCTCTCTCATCTCGTAGGCGTTGGGAACGCTCAGAGCTCGATTCCCGAGTGTGAATTTATATATTTATATTATTTTGCTCTTTAAACCGATCTACTTGACTCTCTCCGACTTGTAAGACGATTTAAACTTTCCGGTAAAGATTCTTCATTACGGCGTATTTTTGATGCCCTCGCCTGGGAACTATTTCTAAAAATGAGATCTTGATCTTTTGGCCATTTAAATTAATAAAAAAAATTAAATTACTTAAATATTTCCTAGCTGTTAAACAGGAATTACTAGTATAAATGTGATTGAAAAATTATAAGAACCACTAAGTCAGTCACTACAGCTTAGTGATTACAATAAACTAATTGGATAGTTAAATTACAATATACTAACATTTTTAAACTTGTGATATTTTTTGAATGGAATGTCCGAATTTAATAATTCGAAAAGTAATATAAAGCTATTGAAACAGTCTTTAATATGAAATAATTTATTTTTATAAGGATTAATACCAAGATACAAATAAAGAGCCTTTTCTAGCGGCGGCATTTCAATCAAAATTTTAAAATAAAAGAACACTTATTGTGGCATAACTATGATAGTTAGACATATGCTCTCGCGACACTTTTTGGAAATAATGATGTGTTCTGCAAATTCGTAGTACATTATTTTATTCTATCATCAATCGTTTTCGCAGCGCACGCGATGTAAAGAATATTTTATTAAAACATGTAGAAAAAGTACGAAAAGATTGTCGCCGCTGTGGGAATCGAACCCACGTCTTCGGCATTCGCGGCCTGACGCTCTAGCTACTGAGCTAAACGGCTGATAGCCACAGCGATGAAAATCTTAACGCCTTCTTTGTACACTGTTATTTAGCATTTGAAGCAATGCTTGGCGCATCTATTGTTATATCCTTTCCAGCATACAAACATTTTCGAATATCGTTTTACAACGATAATTCGAACGAGAGATGTCGCCATTGCTTTTTGTAATTTTTAAAGATTGAATCTTTTCGTACTTTTTCTACATGTTTTAATGTTCAATCTTAAGTGCAGAGATTAGCACTATAACAAACTTTAAAAAAAGAATATTTTAGGTAATTTTTGTACACTTTGGGTTACATTATTGAAGTTTTAGTAAGGATCCTTATTTTTTTGAAAATATAAAATAGCCTATATCAAGTGGGGATAATGTAGCTTCCCAACAGTGAAAGAATTTTTCAAATCTGTTCAGTAGTTTCGGAGCCTATTCAATACATACAAACAATCAAATCTTTCCTCTTTATAATATAGATAGATTATACATATAAATGATCGGGAAGAATAATCTGGATTTAGACCTGGCCACAGTACCACCACAGCCCTCCTTAAAGTGACTGGCGATATTAGGACAGGTATGGAAAATACAGAAGTTACTGTCATGGTTTTAATAGATTTTTCGAATGCCTTTAATGCCGTCAGTCACGACATCCTATTAGCAATCCTGTCTTATTTAATGGTTTCCGAGGAAGCACTGGAATGGTTTTCATCATATCTTCGAGGGCGCCAGCAGGCAGTCACTATTGATGAATTGTCATCTAGCTGGCTCAATGTTGAAAGTGGTGTCCCTCAAGGCGGTATTCTCTCTCCTATTTTATTTTCTGTTTTTATTAATTTCATCACTCTCGAACTTCAATGTGCGTATCATCTTTACGCCGATGATCTGCAGCTGTATGCTCAGGCCACCATTGATAGGCTCCCAGAAATAATCAATATTATAAACCAGGACTTAGCCGCTATTAAAAAGTGGTCAGACAGGTTTGGTTTAACCGTGAATCCAGCCAAGTGTCAAGCCACCGTAGTCGGGAGCTCCCGTATCATAGGTAAAGTGGATCTGAGTAAACTCCCGCATATAACTTTCAACAGTTCTCGCATACCTATCAGTCGTAATGTGAAAAATCTCGGCTTGCACATTGACATGACGCTCAGCTGGAATGCTCAGGTAGGTAGCGTCTGTCAAAAAGTCTCAGGGGTCCTACGGTGTCTATATCGGCTCAAAAATTTCTTGCCGGCTAAAACGAAGGAATTGCTCGTGCAGGCCTTAATTTTCCCATTAATCGACTATGGTGACGTGTGCTACTTCGACCTGAATGCAGATCAACTCAATAAACTCGACCGACTTCTGAATAACTGCATTCGATTCGTTTTCAATCTTCGCAAGTATGACCATGTATCTACTTACCGTGCTCAACTTCAGTGGCTACCCATACGTCAACGACGCTCTCTAAGAGCAATGACTACTCTATACTCTTTCCTGAACTCTTCTTCTTTTCCGACTTACTTATCCCATCATTTCCAATATCTATGTGCCGTTAGCAATAATAACCTTCGCTCCTCGCATAATCGTCTTCTCGTATGTCCTCCTCACCGTTCTGATTTCATGCATTCTTCCTTCTTTATCCAGTCTATCCTTCTGTGGAATGAGCTACCTCTTAAAATCAGGTTGGCTAAAAGTCGCTTTGTATTTAAAAAAAAAGCACGTGAGCACATCCTCAAAAACTTGTCGGCAGGTCAACTCCATCGTTAATTGTCAGAATTTATTTATGTATATGTATATATGTATTTATAATTGTCTGTATACATTTATTTATGTATGTATATATGATTTTATGCATATATTTAGAAAGATATTTATGTATTAGTATGTATGTACATACACCTGGTAGTATTTATTATATATATACTATAATTAACATGTGTATATACTTTCATTTACAACAGTTTATATTTTAACAGTGTTTTCTTTTTATTTATTTCTTTTGACATCTTTCTGTGCACCTACCGAATCTTCTCTGTACCACCCCAAGGTTGACTGGGAGATAATGCCTGTGGCATTAAGTCCGCCTCTGTACAGCTTGTGCATAAAGTATAAATAAATAAATAAATAAATAATGCTACAATATATTTTTATAGTTAAATAGTTTTAGCATTCAAAAGTTTTAATATTTCGCCTCCGAAAAAGTTATTATTAACGATATGAACAGTGGCTGCCGGTTGATATGTCAATTACAAAGAAATGTGTGTCTATTTTGACCGAAAACTGTGTGAAAATTAAAGAATAGTTCATAATTAGTGTATCAATATACTTTTTTTTTAAAATAAATTCAAGTGTTTTCCATACGAATCTATTACTTGAACATTTGTGTTCATTACTGGGCGCCTGTTGTTGTCAATGGACTTTGACAACAGCGGCGGATACCATGACAACATCGCGGGTTGTCATGGTATCCGCCATAGTTACTAATCACAGAGTACTTTTGTATATAGGGAAAATTAATGTTACTAATTTAGTTATGAAGGGTTTGTACGGATTACTAAACGATCAAAATATTCATTAAATTGAATTGTAGTGTGTAAACATTAATTTTAGTGAAAGAAACTTCGAAGAAAGTTGCGGGGGTGGTGGTGCAAGAGGACGAAGAAGAGGACGTAATGGTGCCGAGACCTATGAAGAGTAATTATCTTGTTCTATCTTTATATTCTTATTTATTTATTTTTTAGAAACTAAAGTAAAAACTTATAGACGTAACATATATTATTTTTTAAATCAGTTATAGGATAAGTCAAATTCGTGCTGAAAGGCAAATAGCACAGCGCAGGGATGCGGCGTTGTCGCCTTCCGTCAAGAAAGAGCTCCTGCAGAAAAAAATTATAATTATTAATTTTAAGTTCAAAATATCTAATAATAACTTATAAAAAGTGGAATTTTGTAGGTAGGCAATAAAAATTATTCTGAAAAATATGTTG